ATTAACCCCTAAAGATGCCCAGGATGTGCAATGTCTGTGAGTTCCATGATATACCTTATTTGGTGGCACTGGAGTTTGAATTGTTGGATGCTTCTAAATCATTCATTATATTGCAGAAATAAAAAACATATGAAAACATGCAATTGCCTTCATCCTAACAGGTGTAAAGTCTTTTTAATTTTATATAAACATATAGACAGGCAGACTAATAAATGAATGGGAACAAAATAACTATAATCCTATCCACAGAGCATTTCTCCACTGTTTATAAGCTCCATTCTTTTTTTTGTTAAATATTTTACTGATTTTTTACAGAGAGGAAGAGAGAGGAATAGAGAGTTAGAAACATCCATGAGAGAGAAACATCAATCAGCTGCCTCCTGCATACCCCCCACTGGGGATGTGCCCGCAACCAAGGTACATGCCCTTCACCGGAATTGAACCTGGGACCTTTCAGTCCGCAGGCCAACACTCTATCCACTGAGCCAAATCAGTTAGGGCATATAAGCTCCATTCTTGATTCCACAGTTTTCAATTACACACCCACACATTTAAAAACCTCCTGAAATATAAAAAGGAAAATATGGCTACGTAACAGCATCCTCTATGAGAAAACTAGTGACCCTTGGAACTTGAGTCAATGAATCATGTTAATATGAAGTTCACAAATGTTTTTTCAATCTTAAAATAATCTCTTGTATACATGCTAACCAAAAAGATAAAAATGAATTTATCTCGTTACATATATATTTCCAGGGAATGAGTCTAGTTAAATGACCTATCACCTGGCATCTCCTCTGATATTACTATAAGATTAGTTTGTAGCTCTGGGATGCTTGTTAAGCTACTAAAGCTCCTACATCATTTTTGAAAGTGAGGGAGAACTATTTACCTTTGGATTAATGAAACTCAATAAGAACTTCGTTCCCTCATCCAAAAAAATGAAAGAATTTGTTTTTCCCTAAATCCCACTCCAATGAAAAGTGGCCTCTTAACTCAGGGAAATTGTTTCTTGGCCTTTAATAAGCATGCAGTTTACTGACAGCCAATTGAGGAGGATTTAAAGACAATTACTCACTTAGGAGTAAAGCTGAATTTTATGTCAAAAATGTGTCCTGTGGAAAAAATGATCCCTGCTGGGTGGCAGCTCTATGTTTTGCTACAGAGCAATACAGAGTGAGAGAGACAAGAGACTGGGCTCAATTCTCTGGGCAGGCAAAACAGCACATCTATTCATTCAAACCACCCTCGTATACCGGTATTCTGCAAAACACAGCAAGTGCTGTGAGCACTTAAAGACAGAAATTATGGCTTGCTGTTTATAACAGGATCCTGTAAAAGGAATCTTTGTTCTATGATTAACAAATTGCCAGATCTACAGAAACTTTAAATCTGGAGTACAATTGACCCTTGAACAACATGGGGGGAAGGAGTGCTAATTCCCTCCACCCCAGTCAAAAAGCCACATGTAACTTCTGATTCCCAAAAAACGCAATAATTACTGTTGACCAGAAGTTTTACTAGTAACATAAAGTTGATTAACACAAACTTTGTATGTTTTATGTATTATACTATCTTATAATAAAGGAATCTAGAGAAAAGAAAATGTTATGATCATAAGGAAGAGAAAATACATTTATAGTCTATTGAAAAAAATCTGCAATTCAGCCCAAACCCATGCTGTTCAAGAGTCAACTGGGCATGCTGTCTTGCTACTCACCCATTTTAAATATCCTTCGTTTGCAACTAGCAATTACCTTAAAGTTACTGATCACTGGTACCCTGGCAATTTGCTAGAAGCAACACATTATTAAAAAAAATTTTTAAGACTTGAGAAAGTACATGCATGCAGTATGACATCAGAAGAGTAGAGCCTTTCTAAAACACCTGTGAAGTTGGAGCAGAGACATGTCACTTTTGATTATATTAAATGCAATCATGTCTTCTTTCTAAAAGCAACAATAACGAATAAACTTTTAACATCAGAAATGTTTACTAACAATTCAAGTAAACATTGGCTACATTCTTAGTACAATACAATCTTTGACACAATTACAAATATGTATGCATTTCAAATATTAGCAAATTGCTTCAAAATGCAATTCTCAGAAAGTTTTAGTAATTTATTCACAGTTCAGGATTAAAATGACTGGACTTACAAGGCATGAGGAAGAAATGACCAATTGGCTCAGTTAACTAAACATTCATTTTAAAGAACAGAAACTAAACCAGCAAGGATGATTCTAAAATTTCCAGCTCACAAACAATATAAACAAATACAAAAAGTTTTAGACAAAAAAAAAATTCAATCACATAACATTTAAAAAGCTAACAGGATCATTTCTATATTCACTCTGAAAACTAGTATGGTAAGAAAGGTAATTCAAGAATTTCCTAAAATGTTCTCACTAGCCATTATTTATGGTATATTCCCTAACACTTATATCAGCCTATTATAGACCTACAAGTTAATGTTATAACTTTACCATCTTGCTATTTAGGATTTTATTTTAAGCCTGGATATTATTGGCTCAAATCTAATATTATCAGTCCTATTGGTTACCATGTCACAGTTCTGAAGATGTGGTTAAATTAATAAAGCCAAGGAAATACTGATATATTAACAATATTTAAATATTGTGGGAGAAAAATGATTTAAGGGTTATAACTTCCAAATTCGATTCTAACACTAAAAACTAAGCAATCTGAAATATGCTTTTTTATTTTTTATTTTTTAAATATATTTTATTATTTTTCACAGAGAGGAAGGGAGAAAGATAGAAAGCTAGAAACATCGATGAGAGAGAAACATCGATCAGCTGCCTCCTGCACATCTCCCACTGGGGATGTGCCCACAACCCAGGTACATGCCCCTGACCGGAATCGAACCCGGGACCCTCCAGTCCACAGGCCGACGCTCTATCCACTGAGCCAAACCGGTTTCGGCTGAAATATGCTTTTTTATTGTTTAAAGTTTTACATATAGTATTACATGTCTCCCTTTTTCCCCATTGACCTCCACCCAGCCACCCCCACCCTGAAATATGCTTCTATGGGTAAAACAGTCTATCTAATATCCTGGTATAGAAAAATCTACAAAATGTGTGGATATAAGACTACAATATCTTTCTTTACTAACCATTTCCTTCAATTTCTTTGGCCTTCACAAATTCAAAGGGAACTATGAATTCTTTTGAAATAAACACTTTTCAATGACATTGTACTTTTTCAGAAAAATCACTTAGGTTGTATCATACCATAATTAACATTAGTGTTTCCCTTTTATTGTTATAGCATATTCTAATTAAAAAAAAAAAAAGAGAAAAAACTGACCCCAAAGGATTTCTTAAAATGTTTGTTAAAGCAAACTTTCAGCTGATTTTCCTCCCTTGAAGAGTTAACAGAAGAATCAAAGGAACATCACCAAGGAACCAAGAAAAAGGCTCCTTTCCTTCCATCCAAGGGGCCTGTATGTGTTCAAAAGGATAAGACAATACCATCTCAGAAGCAATTTTCTAAAAAACTAAAGAAAGAAAATCTGTATTAGCTCCCTTGCCCAACAGCCCCATCTGCACATTACCCTGTGTCAGTTCCCTTTTAGTAGTACTGATGCTTGTTTTTCACCTTTGCATTTAATGAGTGCTGTTCCTTAGTGAACCACAGATACAAGGATCTACACATAGCCTGTGGTAACAGCTTACTCTACAAAATGCACTTCATCTCTTCTGAGCATGATATAGCCCAAAACTTGGATCATGATTTAAGTGAAATCCACTCATAGCACTTAACATTAAGGGTACTCTCTTACCCTTTCAATGACCCCAGTCTTCACTTGTGATGAGCCTACCTGGAGACAAATGGGCTTTGCTTTAAACAAGATGCACCTTTCAGTTCCTAGCATAGTGACTTGCCCATAACAGGCTGTTGACATAGTTATAACAAACTAAAATCAGTTAATATTATTTCTCTCTTCTCATTTATTTCTATGGCATAAGTGATTAAAGAAGATCAAAAAGCTGACTCTGAAGTAACTATCATTTCCTGGGTCCTGTGTTAAATGCTACACAACCCCAGGCCTGAAAAGGGCTTATGGCCTGGCTGGTGTTGCTCAGTGGTTGAGCATTACCAAGAGGTCCCAGGTTCGATTCCCAGTCAGGGCACATGCCCTTTCTGTGATACACAAGCAGAATTCTATGCTTCTCTTGCAGCAATGGCTGTCAGAAAATCTCCATCTCATCAAGAAGTTCAAAAACAGAGAAAGGAATAGACTGGGCTTACATAATTTGCTAAATCTCTTACCTTCACAATTTTAAAGTGAAAACTTTTGAAAGAGGACTTAACCAAAACATAAATATCCTTTGCTATAAAATCCCCAAGATGTGGCCAAAAAAGTTCCGTGAAGAAATTACAACTTTTTCAGTATCAAACTCATAGTCTACTCTAAATATTTTAATCTAAATTGTTAAGTTCCATTTCTGGCACTAAGCAGCTAAAGTCACCTCAACATCAATTTATTTATATCTTCTTCATTCCTAAATAAATTGAAGGGGTAGATCACAAAAAATACAGAGACAAAAATACCTAGGAAATAATACAGGCATACCTCACTTTTTTGTGCTTCACTTTATTGTGCTTCACAGATGTTATGTTTTTTTTACAAACTGAAGGCCAGACCCTCAACCAGCAGAAGGATTATGACTCGTCTACTGCAATCCTGGCTTTATTACTGTGGTCAGGAACCAAACCCGCAATATTCCCAAGTTTTGCTTGTACTGAATTTGACGCAATCCTTCATTAATTTCAGTGTAAAGCACATAGTTTTTTCTAAATATAGCCCACCATATAGAGTCAAATGATTAGTCAATAGACTTGCAAATCTTCCAAACTATTGCAAAGAGTTTCCAGACTCGCAGGAAGGTACTAGTTTTATAGAAAGTAGTGAAGGGATTTTAAATTAATTGCAGGAAATTCTTTGGGACAAAGTTGAAGCGAATTCTGAATATATCAATACTGATTTAATTTGAGACATTTGATGACAACTCTGTGTGGTGACTTCAAAGAACAAGATAAAATATGTCATTCAGCTGTGATTAAAAAACTACAGATACAAGAAAATAAAAACCATTTTTAAGAGATGAAAAAACAGAGTCGGAAATCCAATAAATATATATTCCATCTTCAAATTTAAAATTATACTGTTAGCTGTCCAAAGCAGCTCAAATTTAGTTTGTGCTATGAAATTATACAAATATTTTCTGTTAAGGGCTGGAGAAAACCAATGCACTACGATACTATTTAGCTTCCTAAACTACCCTGACCTATAGATAACAAACAATAAATTTGAGAGACTAAGATTAACTTAACTTAGGTAGAAATCCCACCAAGAAAAGTTTGTTTTTAAGTACACTAACAAATTTCAAAATAAATCATAGCATCTTGTCTTTATATATAACTTAGCAAAACTGTAATCAAATGTCCAAATACATTGCCACTGGCTTTAGATCTTCTAATAAATGCACTACTCTTTCATTGGTCTGAATGAATAAAAGCATGGTAAAACAAATGCCAATTACTTTTAAAATACACAATCCTCTCAGATTGAAGCAGAGTCCAGAAATCCAACACTCAGCATCTTTTAAAGAAAATGAAAGCTAGCCCTGGCCAGTCTGGCTCAGTGGTTAGAATGTCAGCCCAAGGACCAAAGGGTCTGAGGTTTGACTCCCGGTTAAGGGCACGTACCTGGGTTACAGGCTGATCCCCACCCTGGTCGGGACATGTATGGGAAACAACCCATCGATTTGTGTCTGTCTCACATTGATGTTTCTCCCTCTCTCTCTTCCATCCTCTCTCTCCTTCTCCCTCCTTCTCTCCCTCCCTTCCACTCTCTCTCTAAAAATCAATGGATAAAAGATCCTCAAGTGATGATTAAAAAAAAGAAAATGAAAGCTAACTGTTTCTGATAATGATTTCACTTTTCAAACTTCCCCACAAATTACTGGAAAAATATGAGGTAATTTCCCAAAAAGCACAAATTTAGTGGAATTATAACTGATATATAAATAAGGATTTACTAAAAAAAAAAAAAAAAAAAAGGCTTAAAGGAGTGATATTTTAAATCAAGATTTTAAATACAAAAGGTGTCTTGTGTTGCTTAATCGCCTAGTTTCAGATGCTCCTCATTCTACTGTTACAGATTTGGCAAGATTCCGGGGGAAATCAACCTGCCAAAAAAAAAAAAAAGGGGGAGATGGGGGACAAGATTAAAGAGATTATACAGATTGGGGGGTGGTTGTGTTCTATAAGCAAGTTATTTTTGTAAAAACAGAAAACTTATTCATTAACCATCTTTACTATAGACTACAAAGAATCAGATTAGAAAATATAGTCACATAATGTCTCTTTAAAAGTCTTGAAATCAGTTAGGAAAAAGAATCCTAAAGAAGCCAGTTCTGCACAGGAAGAGTCCAGTGATGGCCTCCAGAGGTGGCAGGCCTCCGAGGTGACAGCAAAAGTGTAAGGGCAGGATGTTTTGGTTGTCACAATGACTGGGGGACAAAGAATTGTAAAAGTCCTGAAACCTGTGAGATAGTCCTAAACAAAGAATTAGGAAACAGAATAAAAACAGGCAGAGATTCCCTAAAAGGGTAATCTCTGATGGTGGCTATAATCTCCAAGATTCCTTTTAAGTTCTATGGTAAGAAAATGTTATGATGTAACCTACAAATTGGGCCAAGTAAATGTAACAGGTGACAGATAGATATTATATATATATAGTAGAGGCCCGGTGCACAGATTCATGCACATTGAAAGGAAATTAATTAGAAGGTGGCTGGCAGGAGCAGGACTGGGTGAGACGGGCTGGACATACCCTGGAGCCAACCTCCCACAGTCCCTCCCTGGCTGGCGCACCTGGGGCAGCACCGGGGCTCAGAGGGCATCTGCGGAGTGAGTGGGGTCCCTCTGGCAGGTGGGGCCTCTCGGCCTGGCCTGCAGGGATCGGGCCAAGACTGGCCGTCCGATATCCCCCGAGGGGTCCCAGGGTGTGAGAGGGCACTCTGCAAAGTTGCTGTCACTCAGCAGCTCCTGCGTTGAGCATCTGCCCCCTGGTGGTCAGTGTGTGTCATAGCTACCAGCTGGCCAGTCGGTGGGCTGGTCACTTAGCCTTTTATATGTATAGATGTTATATCTATACTAATAAAAGGGTAATATGCTAATTAGACCAGACGTCTTCCAGATGTCCTCCCACAAAGCTGGAGCAGCTCAGTGGCAGTGAGGGCTGGGGCTCCGGCAGCTGTGAGCTGCGGCGGCTGGCAGTGGCAGCAGCAGCAGAGTGATGGGGGTGGCGCCTTGCCCTGATCGTCCCAGTTGCCTCCCGCCCAGCGGGGAGTGGGAGTAGGACATCTCCTGAGGACTCCAGGACTGTGAGAGGGGGCAGGCCAGGTTGAGGGGGAACCCCCCCCCCCCGCCACCACCACCCAGTGCATAAATTTTTGTGCACTGGGCCTCTAGTATATATATATATATTGTGTGTGTGTGTGTGTGTGTGTGTGTGTGTGTGTGTGTGTAGTGGATTTGTCAAATGCTATTGCTAAATATTTAGAAGGAAAACTATTAGAATGTACTCAGGTAAAAAGCCAGCCCTAAATTTCTACAGTGCTCCATCACTTACATCATAGCCTCTCAGCACAGCAAGGTGGAATGCCAGCAACTGTAAGGGGATCACACTGAGAATGCCTTGCAAGCAGTCCACTGAGTGGGGAACCTTGATTGTTCTTTTTGTGTTCTTAATGGTCTCGGTATCTTCCTTATCACAAATCACCACTGGGCGTCCCTGGGAAAGAAAGCCACATACACAATCACAAGTAAACAAAGAAAGAGCTGTAGCAAGTGAATGTGCAAATTTTACATTCAATAATTCACATGTGGCCTCACTAACACAGACTTATTTAAACTCACAATCCTATATGGTAAGTCAGATTGATCTCATAGTCAAGGAAATTAAAGCTTGGTGGGAGTAATTTATTTAAGCTCACACAACTAAGAAACACCAAGCTCAATACAGATGCTCCTCTACTTATAAACCCATCATAAGTTGAAAATATAAGCCAAAAATGTATTTAATACACCTAACCTACCAAACATCCTAGATCAACCTAGCCTACCTTTAACATGCTCAGAACACATATTAACTACAGTTGAGAAAAATCATCTAACACAAAGGCTATCTTATAACAGAGTATTGAATATCTCACGTAATTTATTATGCATATTACTTCCATACCATTGTAAAGGCCAAAAATCCTAAGTCAAACCACCATAAGCCAGAGACCATCTGTTCTTGAATCCAGGTCTGCCTGCCTTCAAAACCCAAGTTCATAACAACTACACTGTGAGAAGAGATTAGTATCTTTTGATTATATGTTATATATTATATATTATAAAAGTATCTTTATAAATAAAGCCAAATGATCAGAGGAAAACTCAGTTAAGCACATCACCAGTAGTTTTAATATAAAATCTAGTTCCTCCTGAAATTCACATGTAAGAATACGTATTAAACTAAAAGGGAGCAGCATAAGCTAATTAAAGAGGACAGGATTTGGAGAGCCAGACTTTGGTTTTGGTCTCAATTCTGCCTATTGTAAGATCTATGAGCTGGGTCCTGTCAAAACTCTGAGAATCTAATTCCTCACATGTAAACCTCAACATGTTTTGTAAGCTATCTATTGGGCCCTGGTCTATCACTTTAAATGTCATAAAATTCAATTAAGCTTTAATGGCCCATCTCTTAGATTCCCCAAGGTGTCCTCACAGCAGCCCCTGACTTACCTGCCTAGCAACCACCTGCTGAAGAGCATTCTGACACTTGGCATAAGTATGATCTCTCATAATGATCATGATGACAGGCATTAACTTATCCACCAAAGCCAGAGGACCATGCTTCAATTCACCAGCAAGGATGCCTTCAGAGTGCATGTAAGTGATTTCTTTGATTTTCTAATAGAAAAGAACTAGATTAGTCTTCAGTCTCTTTTTCAAAAACCCATTCTTAATTAAGCATTACACAAATATTAGATATCTGGAGTCGCTTTTTATCCAAAAGTATTAAAGGACCACCGATCTATAAATATAGCCAACAGGCTAACAGATCATTGTTTCTATAATATCTACAGTGACTAGAAGCTTTAAGACCTACAAGGACTTTTTCAAGATTTAATTTAATTTAAACTTTTTTTGTTAATCCTCACCTGAGTATATTTTTTCCATTGCTTTTCAGAGAGAGTGAAAGGGGGTGGGGGAAGAGAGAGAGAAACATCGATGTGAGAGAGACACACATCGACTGATTGCCTCCCACACATGCCTCAACCAGGGGTGGGAAGCAAATCCCCAACCCAGTATGTTCCCTTGACAAAGAATCGAACCCAAGACCCTTCGGTGTGTGGGCTGACATTCTAACCAGGGCTTTTTCAACATTTTAGATTCACATGAACATACTCATGTAACTGTTCTACTTGGTTAATGTTTGACCTGAATTAAATCCCACACTTAGAGAACTTAATCTTTATTTCAGTCGTATCTGGACAATAAATTAACCAAAGCTACTTGCTAAACCCAAGCTATCATGCTAAAATGTACTCTTCTTTATTTTCACTAAGTATAAATTGTTACACCTTCTCAGGGCAAACAAACCAGAATGCATAAAAACAAAAGCACTTGTAAAAGTTTCACCTATTTCATTCAAACTAAAAGTATGACTATGTACAAGGTCCATAAGTCAACAGGCTGAAATTATAAGTGAGAAGACTTACTAGTGCCCCTTCAAGACAAGTAGCATAATGATAGCCACGCCCCATTATCAAGACCGACTTCTGATGATAAAGTTCTGTTGCCAGTTTCTGAATTTCATCATCTATACTCAGTACTTCCTTAATCAAATCTGTTAAGAAGTAACATTATAAACTGTTGAACAAAAATAGACAGAGGCAAAGAAGCATTGAACAGACTATCAAACTACAGTGGGAAGGTAGGGGAGGGTTGGGGGGTAAGAGATCAACCGAGGGACTTGTATGCATGCATATAAGCACAACCAACAGATGCAAGACATTGGGGGGGTGAGGGGGTGGTGAAGGCAAGTGTCAGGGGGTAGGGGAGGCCCGGGCCCGGGGGAGGTCAATGGGGGAAAAAAAGGAGACATATGTACTACTATTTGTAATACCTTAAACAATAAAATAAAAAATAAAAAAAGAAGTAACATTAGCAACATCTATGAAAAAGGATAATTAACCGAACCAATATAAAAACAATAATATATTGGTAGCAACTGACAAAAGACCAGTGTTTCTATTCCCCTGTGATATCAGAGAGGAATTTTTAAATACAAAGGTGCAAAAGTAGAAAGATTTATTGACTAAACAGCTAGAAGCCACAGCTTCAAGTACAAGAAGAAAATGACACCCATTACGGCTCCCTTAGACAACAAAAGTGTAGTATAAGAGCATCTTCGTACCAGGCAGCCGCTTCAGTCCAAGCATGATCTCTTTGCGTCTCTCTTGCATGGAAATCCTGTCATCACACATCATAAGGGCAAACATCACAAGGGATACAAACTGGCTGGTGTAAGCCTAAAATACCACAAAAAAGCAGTTGTATTTTAAGAACTTAGAGTTTTTCATTTAAAAAATATGCAAACAAATTCCCATTGGTTTTATAAGCACATATTGTCCATTTTCTTTTTTTTAAATCTTCACTCAAGGACACGCTACTGATTTTATGGAGAGAAGGAGTAAGAAAGAGAGGGAGGGGAGAAGAACAAAGGGGAAGGAGGAAGGAGAAAAACATGGATGTGAAAGAGAAACATCGATTGGTTGCCTAAATGCTGGCAAGGATGTGGAGAAAAAGGAATCCTAGTACACTGTTGGTGGGAATGCAGACTGGTACAACCACTATGGAAAACAGTGTGGAGTTTCCTCAAAAAATTAAAAATGGTGCCCTGACCGGTTTGGCTCAGTGGATAGAGCGTCGGCCTGCGGACTGAAGGGTCCCAGGTTCGATTCCGGTCAAGGGCATGTACCTTGGTTGCTGGCAAATCCCCAGTGGGGAGTGTGTAGGAGGCAGCTGATTGATGTTTCTAACTCTCTATTCCTCTCCCTTCCTCTCTGTAAAAAAATCAATAAAATACATTAAAAAAAAAAATTAAAACTGGAACTGCCATTTGATCCATAGGAATAATTACACTAATAACATGCTATTAATAACTTTTGTGAATACTGCCTTCTAATCTCTACTATGTTTTTCCTTTTTATATTGTTTAGAAAATTAATTCTTAGCAGGTATAATTTTATAACTTGCTTTTATTTTTGACATAATAAGTACTTTCCCAAGACAGAATGCTTTCTTTCTTACTTACTAGTGTGTAATTATCTTAAGGAACTTTTTCCATCTCTTTAGGCCTCAGATGGCCCATCTGTTAAAAGTACACAATACTTACACGATAATCATGAGAATAAATGAGACAAGTATAAATCAAACAACATAATGTCTGACATATAGGCTAAAAACAAACTTTTTATTGATGAAAGCTTAAACTAAGACTTTAATTCAAAAAAATTTTTTCTTAACTACAGACTTGTGAATATTTTAAAACTTGCAGTCATGCTGCCGGGACTATTTTTAATCCCATTAGCTGTATATAAATGTAAGATATGACTGCTTTTTCACATTCTTTACAATATTGAGAATTATCCTTTTAACAAATTTTTACCACTGACTGATAGACAATGGACTCTTTCTATCCTTTACCATGTACATCTTGAATCTAAAAAAATTAAGATTTTTATTCATGCTTGTTAGCCATTTATGTTTCTTCTTTTAAGGTTTAACTTCATTGTTCTTCACTTATTTTCAACTTTGGCCTTTTTTTTTCTTTTAAGTGGGTCGTACCCTAGCCAGTTTGGCTCAATGGATAGAGCGTCAGCCTGCAGACTGAAGGGTCCTGGGTTCAATTATGGTCAAGGGCACATGGCCAGGTTGCGAGCTCGATCCCCAGAAGGGGGCAGCCAATCAGTGATTCTCTCTTGTCACTGATGTTTCTATCCCTCTCTCCCTCTCCCTTCCTCTCTGAAATCAATAAAAATATATTCTTTTAAAAAAGTTGGTTGTAAGTCCAGGAAGCGCAGAGAACCCCAAACAAAAGGAATCCAAAGAGGACCACACCAAGACACATCATAATTAAAATGCCAAGAGCAAAAGACAAAGAGAGATCTTAAAAGCAGCAAGAGAAAGAAAGTCAGTTACCTACAAGGGAGTACCCATACGAATGTCAGCTGATTTCTCAACAGAAACTTTGCAGGCCAGAAGGGAGTGGCAAGAAATATTCAAAGTGATGAATGCCAAGAACCTACAACCAAGATTACTTTATCCAGCAAAGCTATCATTCAGAATTGAAGGCCAGATAAAGAGCTTCACAGATAAGGAAAAGCTAAAGGAGTTCATCACCACCAAACCAGTATTATATGAAATGCTGAAAGGTATCCTTTAAGAAGAGAAAGAAGAAAAAGGTAAAGATACAAATTTTGAACAACAAATACACATCTATCAACAAGTGAATCTGAAAATGAAGTGAATAATCTGATGAACAGAATGAACTGGTGATTATAATAGAATCAGGGACATAGAAAGGGAGTGGACTGGCTATTCTTGGGGGGGGGGGGGGGGGAAGGGGTGTGGGGATGCCAGAAGAGATTGGACAAAAATCGTACACCTATGGATGAGGACAGTGGGTGGGGAGTGAGGGAGGATGGTGGGATGGGAACTGGGTGGAGGGGAGTTATGAGGGGAAAAAGGAGGAACAAATCTAATAATCTGAACAATAAAGATTTAATTTAAAAAAAAAGTTGGTTGTAAGGTCTTTACTGTTATGTATCAAATACTTTTTCACAGTTTGGTTTAACCTTTTATAATGGTGTTTACTGACACAGAAGTTTCATTTTTTTTTAAACTCTTATGTAGTACTTTTAAATTTAAAGTCCTTCCATCCTAACATCAGTTAAGTATTATTATATTTTCTTAATTCTATTGTTATCATTGTCCCATATTATTTGGCTTTTCTTTTTTTCACTTTCAACATTTCATTTATTTGACTTTTTTTAAAGTATATTTTTATTGATTTCAGAAAGAAAGGGAGAGGGAGAGATAGAAATATCAATGATGAGAATCACTGATTGCCTCCTGCATGCCCCCTACTGGGGATCCGGGCATGTGCCCCTGACTGGACTCAAACCTGGGACCCTTCAGTCCACAGGCTGTCTATCTACTGAGTCAAACTAGCCAGGGCCCATTTTATTTGACTTTTTCACTTCATTTTTAAACCAACTGAAATTAATTTTAGTACAGTGTTAACTTATGTTTTTCTATTTTTATAAATAACCAATTTTCCCTTCATTTCAATTTCACTCCACCCTTTCTCTACTAGTTTGCGATATTCATTTAATGTAGTGGAGTTATGTTGCAGAACTATTGATTCCGTCTCACAGATCTGTCATTTTTTTTACAAAATAATCTTCCCATCCAGAAATATGGTATTCCACCAATTTGTGTTGGGAATTAAAAGTCTATAAAGTTATACAGTTACCATCTATATTCAACAAATATTTATGGAGCACCTTATACATTTCTTGGTAAAATTATTTTAAGTGTTTTTTATAGCCATTAAAAATAGAATCCCCCTCCAAACACACACATTTATATCATTTGTAAGTAGTCACTACTTTAAAAAATTTATAAAGAAAGTATTTTTGTATATGTTTTATATAAAGCACTGAGAAATATTTTACTTTTTATTTTTGAGCTTTATACAGTTAGTGAATCATATCAATTGCAACTAAGAAGAATTTTATTTCTCCTTTCAGATTGTTTTACTTATTTTTTCCTATTAAACTGGATAGAACTCCTAGAACTGGGATAGCATATATGTTTCACAGAGAGCCAATCCTAACTCATTGTACTCACAGTGAAACATCATGTTGAAAAAGATTCTAGTCTAAGGCCACCTTTTTTACTTCACAGTAATACAGATAAAATCCTAGGAAGATTCCAGAAGAACAGCAAGGGCCCTCTAAGAAGAAGGTCCTGAAGCTTTCCGTTTTGCAGTTCCTTCATTCACTTTTCTCTATTATTTAACTCCATTGCTTTATTGAGTTTCCTTTTTCTAGTTTCTTTAGTTAAATACTTAATTCATTTTTTAAAGATAAGCATTTAATGCTATGAATTTACCTCTAATTATAAATTTGGCCACATACTCTAAACTTTTACTCACAATGTTCATTATCATTATTTCTTCTAAGCCTTTTAAAATAGTAGTTCTGATATCATTTTAACTCAACAGTTATTTAAAGGAATGTTTTAATGTTTCAGGTATTTGAGGTTTTTACTGACACATTTACTATTAAATCACTAGGATTACTGTGGTGTGGTCAGCTATAATGTTATCTATAACTTTAACTTTAGAAAATTTATGTTGAGTGTTTTTTTGTGTGTGGATTATATGCTGACTTTCTGTTACTCTTCTCTGGATAAGGAATGACTTCACTAGTGAATATTTTCCTGTCAGAATGTGGATACTGAGCTTCCAATATAACAAAATCAGTCTACCAATGCTCCTTACCTTCCCAACAGTTCAATGAAATTCCCAATTTCCTCTTCCTAGACCTCCCAGCTATCAGCTGCTCAGATATTCCTCCACAGGCAGCTACCTGTCCCTGTGCTGCTATGAATTCCACTGATGCACTGGGATTTTTTTTTCTCTATAGCACTGAAGTGGATTTGCAGTTCTTTGCCTCCAGCACATCTATATTCTAAATTTCAGTTCCTCCCAGTCTACCTCTTCCTACTGAAGTTTACTTTACAATAAGCCAACTAATCACAGATTACATTATCAGGACAGAGGGAGAGACCCAGTATCCTGGATGCCTGGGATACCTAAACTGTTTCTAATCCAAACTGATCAGATAATGAGTATTTCAGTTTCTCTATACCACAACTAAAAATGTTACTCTCTAGAGTAATGTTTCTTTGTTTGGACCTGAAACATCTAAACACTGGTTTTCAAGTACAAATATTAAACAGAATAATCTTAATGCACATATTTTTCCATTGAATTCCTAACACAGCTTAATTTCAGTTTCATGTTTTTCAGTTCCTCAATAACTACCAGGAAACCAATTATGAGAAAAATAAGTTATACCTCACATTTTGAATTTATTGAGGTTTGAAAGAATTTACCAGAAAAATGTTGACTCTGAACTTTTAAACTTGGTTTTACCTTTTACTCAGCAAAAATAAAGTTATATTGGTTTATTTTTTAAAATCAACAAAAGTCAGCATGGTGGTGAAATTCTAGACACCTACAATAACATACAAAATCACTGAACCTGTACATTTATACCCATCAATTCCTACAGATATATCAAATTATCTATGGTATGATACTATGAGAAAGTTAATAATATCTTTCTAACCCTGACAGGTTCTCAGGCAAAGCTGGGAATTCATAATCAAGATTACAGTATTCTTGTGCTAGCTCCATCACAAGGCCCCCAATGATGAGCTTCTTTGATCATCCATTAACATATTTGCCATTCAGAAATGGTCTATGACTAAACTTTTCAAGATTGTCTAAGGCTATTAAAGAACACAAAATTACTTTAGAATCCAAGAAAAATTAAATGTGACTAAATTACCATACTTACTAATATTTTTAAAGGAGTTATTTTATTATTAAAGAAATTAAAGTATGTACTTTAAAAAGATACTTATTTTCTTATGTAAGATGTAACCACTAGGGGAAACTGTGTAAAGAGTACATGGACTTCTCTGTACTATCTGTACAACTTCCTATAAAGCTAGTGATTTCAATATAAAAAGTTTTTTTAAAAAAAGGACTTACAAAAAAAGAACCACTGATATAAATAACATGAATAAATCTCAAAAAAATTCATGTTAAATGAAAGAAGACAGCTATTAATGACATGTATTATATAATTCCCTTTTAAAGAACTTTCTAGAAAATGATATAAAAGAAGACAATAGTAGTTGTCTGAGCTTGAGGGGTAGAAATGAGGACTGACTATACCAGGCACAAGGAAACTTTTTCAAGTGAGTAAGTGTTCTAAAATTGGACTGTGATGATAGTTACAGATCCAAATTTACTAAAACTATACATTTAATAACTGGTGAGTGTTATTTATAATATGAAAATTATAGTTCAATAAAGCTATAGAAAAAAGGTTAACAGTAAAATCGAGGTAATGGTATATGAATTGTTAATGTAAAATTTTTTTAACTCTGCTATATGTTTGAAAATTATTGTAACAAAATGTTGAGCAAAATTAAAGTTTTCATAAGCTATACAATTAGAAATTTTAAAAAGTTGTCTTTCCCATGGCAACTCACAGTTTAAGAAAGATTTAATAAAAAGTCAACAAAATAGCATCCATTCAATTGATGGATGTACATATACCACATGAAGCCCTTGTTTCACAATGCGTTGTGAATAAAAGGGCCCTGGGATTCCAATCCCCAATCAAAGCTGTCCAGAAATCCACAAGGCCCTGTTTAGAGCAGTTGGTTATTTATTCAGGCACAGACTGGAAACCCAAACACAAATATCTTACATGTTTTAATTATCACACAGAGAAAATTCAGGTTTCAGCTTTCTATAAAGTATAGTGTTGGCAGTATCCAAGTAACCAACAAACACTCATCAGAGTTTTTACATAAGAAGAACGAATTTTCCACAAAAAAATTCTCCATGAGGTTCTTTAAAAAAATATATATATTTAAATGTGGTTATGTATGTTAATATCATCTTTCACACGCCTTTAATTAGAATCAAATCCACCAATACCTAAGCATCTTACCAGACAATCAGCAAGAAATACTGAACTGCCGAAACCGGTTTGGCTCAGTGGATAGAGCGTCAGCCTGCGGACTGAGGGGTCCCAGGTTCGATTCCGGTCAAGGGCATGTACCTGGGTTGCGGGCACATCCCCAGTGGGGGGCGTGCAGGAGGCAGCTAATCGATGTTTCTCTCTCATCGATGTTTCTGACTCTCTATCTCTCTCTCCCTTCCTCTCTGTAAAAAATCAATGAAATATATTAAAAAAAAAAAAAAAAAGAAAAGAAATACTGAACTTAAGCAGAAAATTAGACAACTGTAATTTTGTAATCATAAAAGTAATGCATTTGTGGAAAGAGAACATCTTTGCATATACACACTTAATAAGATTCCTATTTTTATTAACATATTATGTACATCCTAATTTCAAAGAGCAAAGTAGTCTCACTAGGCCTTAAAAAAAATGAGGGTGCTTTTAAATCTCCACGAATGTAGTATCTAAAGAGAAACGGACAATTATATAATATTCACTTTTCTTTCTTTAATTTCCAAATTCTGTACTAAAGGTGTACTCCTCTTTACAAGATTTCAAAGGTAGTATGTATATTTTGACATATTTATTAGAAACTATAAATATGTAAATAAAATTTCAAAAATTATTAAAATTAAACTGAATGTTTCTAATCTGTTATTTTTCTAATTCCCTACTATATATAATAAAAGAAGGGAACATTATACTTACCTATGTACCTGGCAGGAGGATATAAGTGATGAATGGGGACAGCAGCAGAGACCTTTTCAAAACGGACTTATGTTATATACATTTGTCCTTTCAAATTCTTAATATGGAAGTGATGAAGGGGACAACAAGTGTTTTATCTATTGTTGACCCTTAAGTCTTACAATAATTAGTAAACTCTGAGTTCTATAAGTGCTAACAAGCTAAATACAAGATATGGATTAGTCTATTTCACCAACACTATGATTAAATAATTACATAAGAACTAAGTCAAGAATTTACCTTTGTGCTGGCCACGCCAATCTCGGGCCCAGCATTAATGTGAACTCCACAGTCTGTCTCCCTTGATATGGAACTGCCGACAGTGTTGGTGATCCCCACAGTTAAAGCTCCTCTCTCCTTGCAGTATCGAAGACCCATCAGGGTATCTGCTGTCTCACCTGTGTATAAAGGAAGACAAAAGTAACACATACAGCAGTTAATATATGCTTTTTTAGATGTAAAAACAAAAAACTGACTACACTTTCAACAAAAAATCATTCATTTTAAATAAAATTTAAAATATGCATTTAAAATAATAAATGAGCAAAACTTTAACAGGATCCTACTTTTTAGGATCTCCTTTCCTTCTTTGTCTTTGGAAATTCAGCTCTTTAGTGTAAACTGTGTTTATTTTACTAATTCATTAAGAATCACATATCAAAATAAATCTCTATTTGCCATTTGCAATATCATTTTATCTTTAAATATCAATTTTTGCCAAGATAATTCTTAGAAAGAATGACTTTCCTTTTCGCCAAGTCTTTAAAATTAGCATACCTGACTGACTAATAAAAAAGCAAACATCATCTCGGAAAACTGGCGTGTTTCTATCCAGGAAATCACTGGCTAGCTCTACCATAACCGGCAACTCAGTCAACTCTTCAAGAACTTGACGTGTCTGTAAAGAAAAAATTATTTGGTCAAACAACTTTACTTCAAATACTCTTTTTCACTGGCCTTCTTTGGCCTCAATGTATAGTTTTCACTTTTCTGATTATAAAAATGAAACATGTGCATTGTTAGAAAATATAAACAATACAGATTAAAGCACAAAAAAATAAAAAATAATCAAAATTTCACCATGCAGGGAAAAGCACATGTATAAAATATTTTGAGAAGCAGCAAAAGCACTGTTCTGAATTAGCTTGTATGTTATCTCTAACTTCCCAATTCTAATCTTTAAATGATGATTCATAAAATACCAAGCCAGAGAAATTCCAAATAAGATAAACACCCAGTGAAAAATTAAACACTTCAAAAATACTACATATTCATAAGTAGTACCATTCCAAAAAAAAAGTCAATACACTTCAGAAATCTAGTTTGAAAAAAAGCTCACTACTTTCAAATTTTGTAGTATGGAAAGTAAAGTAGGAGGTAGTATGCTTTTGCTCAAAGAGCACCGTAAATTCATTTTAATTAAATTCCTTTTACTCTAAATATCAGAAAGTTAAAAACAACAGAAAAGTAAAATTTTAGGCAGCAAAAATTTTAGGCCCTTCAGTCACATACATTTAGTTGCCTTAATAATAACTATGTAGATCACCTACTTATTTAGGTAAGTGGCCCTACCCATTTTTTGCCCCATCTCTGCATTCCTCCTCCTTCATGGAAGTGAAAAACTGTAAAGGTTTCCTTACTTCATATCCCTTTAACTTTCTTGCCACAAATGTGAACTAAATCATTTTGTTCTATAACTTTGGTTGGCCCCTTTTTAAAAATGTTATAACATCATGTACAGAAAGTCTTCGAGGATAAAATGTTCCTATTTTTAACTAACTTTTTTCCATTGATGTATAAATTTACTAATCCTATATAATAAAAGGCTAATATGCAAATCGACCAAACAGCAGAACAATCAGTCGCTATAATGTGCACTGACCACCAGGGGGCAGACGCTCAATGCAGGAGCTGCCCCCTAGTGGTCATTGGGCTCCCACAGGGGGAGTGCCTTTCAGCCAGAAGCCGTGGTGAGCGCAGCGGCGGTGGCAGGAGCCTCTCCTGCCTCTGCAGCAGCACTAAGGATATCCTATTGACACCCACCAAGGGCTCCCAGACTGCAAGAGGGTGCAGGCCAGGCTGAGGGACACCACCCCCAAGTGCACAAATCTTGTGCATTGGGCCTCTAGTTTTACATAAATGACTGACACTAAGATGCTAAATGTTTTCCCTCAAACATGAATCAAACTTTCCTGCTCCTGTTTACAATGTAAAGTTATACTGAAATTATACTCTTCAAAATTAAAAGAGAAAGATACAAATCTGGCAACTTACCAAGTATTTAAAAACTAGAGGCCTGGTGCACAGATTCGTGGACTGGTGGGTCCTTTATTTTTTTTATATCAGTGCGCGATCAATTGAGGCTGGGGAGGGACTGCTGGAGGCTCCAGGGTGTGTCTGGCCCATCTTGCCCAGTCCTGATCAACCAGACCCCAGAAGCAAGCTAACCTACCGGTCAGAGCATCTGCCCCCGGTGGTAAGTGTGCATCATAGCTACCAGTAAAATGGTTGTTTAGGCTTTTATATATATACTAGAGGCCCAATGCACGGATTCATGCACTGGTGGGGGGCATGGCCTGCAGGGATTGGCCCGCTGCAGGAGCAGCCATTCATCCCAGTCAGCCAAAGTGGCACTCCCACTGTGGGAGCACACTGACCACCAGGGGGCAGCTCCTGCATTGAGTGTCTGCCCCCTGGTGGTTAGTGCGTGTCATAGCGACTAGTCGACCAGTCGTTTTGCTGTTCGGTCGCTGGGCTTTTATATATATATAGACTAGAGGCCCAGTGGACAAAAATTTGTGCACTCGGGGGTTCCCTCAGCCCGGCCTGTGCCCTCTCGCAGTCTGGGACCCCTCGGGAGATAACGACCTGCTGGCTTAGGCCTGCTCCCGGGTGGCAGAGGGCAGGCCCAATCCCTAGGTGCAGCCCCTGGTCGGGCTCAGAGCAGGGCCGATGGGGGAGTTGGGGCACCGCCCCTGTCATGCACAGAGCAGGGCGGATCGGGAGGTTGCAATGCCACCCTCAGTCACGCTCAGGGTAGGGCTGATTGGGGGGTTGGGGCACCGGCCCCTGTCACACCCAAGGCAGGGTCGATGGGGAGGATGCGGCGCCACCCCCTGTCACGCACAGAGCAGGGCCCATCAGGGGGGTTGAGGCTCCGTACCCTGTCACACACAGAGCAGGGCCCATCAGGGGGTTGGGGAGCTCCCCCCTGTCACACACAGAGCAGGGCCTATGGGGAGTTTATGGCTCTACCCCATCACACACAGAGCAGGGCCCGTGGGGGGCGGTTGGGGCGTCGCCCTCTATCACCCACAGAGCAGGGCCGATCAGGGGGTTGGGGCACCGCCACTATCACACTCAGGGCACGGCCGATGGGAAGGTTATGGCTCTACCCCATCACACACGGAGCAGGGCCCGTGGGGGGTGGGGGGGTTGGGGCGCCGCACCCTGCCACACACACAGCAGGGCCGATCAGGGGGTTGGGGCGCCGCACCCTGTCACACACAGAGCCGCAGGGCAATCAGGGGGTTGGAGAGTTCCCCCCTATCAGGCACAGAGCAGGGCCAATCAGGGGGTTGGGGCGCCTTCCCCTGTCACAAACAGAGCAGGGCCGACAGGGAGGTTGTGGCCCCGCCCACTGTCACACACAGAGCCGCAGGGCGATCAGGGGGTTTGGGCGCTGCCCCCAGTCACGCTGATCCCGGTGCCGGGAGGCCTCGCAGCTCCGCTGATCCTGGTGCTGGGAGGCATATTACCCTTTTACTATATAGGATAGAGGCCTGGTGCACAGGTGGGTGCCGGCTGGTTTGCCCTGAAGTGTGTCCTGGATCAGGGTGGGGGTCCCCACTGGGGTGCCTGGCCAGCCTGGGTGAGGGGATGATGGCTGTTTGCAGCTGGTCACACACCCTTCAGGGTGGGGGTCCCCACTGGGGTGCCTGGCCAGTCTGGGTGAGGGGCTGAGGGCTGTTTTCAGGCTGGCGGGTGACTGAAGCTCCCAACTGCTCCTTTTTTTATTTTTTTTTTATTCTGGGCCAGTTTTAGCTCTGGCTCCAGCTCTGAGGCCTCTGCTGCTGAAAGCAGGTTTCTGGCCTTTGTTTACTTTCTGTATTTGAAACAATGTTGCGATCCTGCTGGCTGAAGCCCAGTGACTAAAGCAGGTTTCTGGGGTTTTGTTTAGCTTCTATATTTGTAACATAGTTGCTTAGAGTTGCAGCTCAGAGGCCGGCAGCGGCAGGCGGGGAACGTTGGAGTCCTCCGTCACTGAAGCAAGCAAGCCTCATGTTCGCTTCCAGCTGCCTGGCTGCTGGCCACCATCTTGGCTGGCAGTTAATTTGCATATCGCCCTGATTAGCCAATGGGAAGGGTAGTGGTCGTATGCTAATTACCATGTTTCTCTTTTATTAGATAGGATAATACACCTCAGAAAGTAATCTGAAGGTATATCTGTGCTAATAGTTTGTTCTTTCAATAGAAGCAACTCTTCAGAAATAGACAGAATGACATATTTTCATCATAAGAGACTAATTTAATGTTAAATTCCATTGCATGCCACTGGAAAAACCCAAGACAATAAACATTTTGAAAAGCAATCTATACTTAGAATGATTTTAGTTCACTGTTATTGTTCAGGATACACAGTATATACTAAAAAAGCAATTATGCAAATGTGTCATTCACATTTGACACCACCAAAAACAAACAAAAATCTACATAGAATTAATGATATTATTTTATACTAGAGGCCCGGTGCACAGAATTTGTGCACGGGGGGGGGGGGGGCGGGGTGTCCCTCAGCCCAGCCTGCACCCTCTCCAATCTGGGACATCCCTCTCACAATCCAGGACTGCTGGCTTCCAACCGCTCGCCTGCCTGCCTGCCTGCCTGCCTGATTGCCCCTAACTGCTTCTGCCTGCCAGCCTGATTATCCCCTAACCACTCCCCTGCCAGCCTGATTGACACCTAACTGCTCCCCTGCTGGCCTAATTGCCCCAACTACCCTCCCCTGTTGGCCTGGTTCCCAACTACTTTCCCCTGCAGGCCTGGTCCCCCCAACTGCCCTCCCCTGCAGGCCTGGTCCCTCCCAACTGCCCTCTCCTGCAGGCCTGGTCCCTCCCAACTGCCCTCCCCTGCAGGCCTGGTCCCTCCCAACTGCCCTCCCCTGTAGTCCTGGTCCCTCCCAACTGCCCTCCCCTGCCAACCATCTTGTGTCCACATGGGGGCGGCCATATTGTGTGCTGGAGTGATGGTCAATTTGCATATTACTCTTTTATTAGATAGGATGATAAACCATGAGATTGCTAATGTTAGTTAACTATAGTAGTCTCAGCATCCACAAAAACAAAACATAGCCAAACCAGCTTGGGCTATGTTTTGTTTTTGTGACTAGAATGTCAGCCTGCAGACTGAAGGGTCCTGGGTTTGATTCCAGTGAAGGGCACATGCTTAGGTTGCAGGCTCGATCCCCAAAAGGGGGCATGCAGGAGGCAGTCGATCAATGATTCTCTCTCATCATTGTTTTTCTCTCTCTCTCCCTCTCCCTTCCTCTCTGAAATGAATAAAAAAATACATGTTTTAAAAAATAGATTAAATCTTCTCAAATTTCAGAGTTAGAAAAGCCTAACAGATCATATAACTTCTGCTCCAAAATTCAAACTTAGCATTAGATACAACATTTACTCAAATTTTTAATTTCTGAATAATGAGCTTATTCAGTAATAGACCTAAACCACCACTAAATTAACCAATCCCTTAATTTACACTATCATCTTTCATTCTTTCTTTCCCATGCTCAAAACCATCACTTTTTACAACTCTTCCCTTTGATACTGCAGACTTTCCTTTTTAGGACTATGTAATTTCTTTTTTAAGAGAAGAGTAAAGCCTGTTGAAATTCAAGGTCTGGGTGATTAGCTAGTTTTAAATCACTAAATAACTAGCTCCCACAGTTGTAGACAACAAATATTTATGCCCCAGCAAATAAAAAATTACTATGTCATGAACTTTAAGAATCATCCTCAAAGTAGCAACTGAATATGAAAGGGTCTTCTGTACTTATGGGAGCTGACATCAGCGCACATAAACTACACATGGATCTGACTTATTGGAGTAAAAAAGATGGTTATATTCCTAAGCTTGTGCACTGACAACAACACACTTCTTTAATATAAAATTGCAGCTTCCAAAATAACAGTTTAAAGAACAAAGTCTGACATAAGGCAGACTTCCTTTCCTTGTAGAAACCTGCCTGCCAAGTAAAATCCTGGTGAGGTTCACCCATGGTACCAGCCATCTCATCTGTCTGGGGTAAGTGAACAATGAGAAGCAAAACTCAATGGCTGCTCTTGTAGAAGTAGGCATGTGCACTAGACCACAAGGCTAAGATGGTGCAAAAACTTTCCCTCTCTTTGCCTTTCACTAACGAAGTCATTTGCAGACATTCTAAGATCCTTTCTAAAGCAGATCTTCCATTAATAAATAATTCCAAGGATCTATTAAAATTTCTGCCTCCAACCTTCTTGATTTTTGTCATGCAAACTGAAAATATAACATGATGTTTTAACAAAGGAGAGTTTTACATGGTGTGTTACTGGAGGTATTATTTGTTTGCAGATATATTCTGATACCAAACATATTACAATTAAGATTTTAAGAAGCTACTTACAGCTACACCAGCATGATAACTTGTTCCACAAGCAATAAGAATCAAGCGCCGGCACCTCTGGATCTCCTTAATGTGATCCTTCAAACCGCCCAAATTCACTGAAATAAAAGTTCATGTATATAACTATTTAGGAAAGAACCATATGAAATAAGCAATCATTTTTGATAAGTGGGAAGCAACAGAATTTTAAAGAATTTGTATTCCTCTGAGGAACTCTTATAGAAGTAGGCATGTGCACTATCCACTAAGCCAAACTGGCTAGGGCTCCTCTCAGTCTTTACCATCTCATTCACCTAATGTCAGAGTCATCCTCATTGCTCCTATCCCTTCTCCACATCCACTCGACCAGCAAGTCCTAGGAACTCCACCTAGGAGTTCTCTGTAGTTCGTTTGTTTTCTTTTTTTTTTTTTTCTCCTTAGGTACCTATTTTTTGAAAAGTAATTAAAATAAGGCACAACTTAACTGGTTCCCCAGACTTGTAAGTAGCCTTATTCAGCTCCCTACCACATGTCCACACTACTACAGTATGTATCAGACTTTAACTTGTTTGGTCAATTTTACATTCCTTTCTTTTTTAAAAAAAAATATATTTTATTGATTTTTTTAGAGAGGAAGGGAGAGGGATAGAGAGTTAGAAACATCGATAGAGAGAAACATCGATCAGCTGCCTCCTGCACACCCCTCCCCACCCCCCCCCCACCCCCCCGGGGATGTGCCTGCAACCAAGGTACATGCCCCTGATTAGAATCAAACCTGGGACCTCTCAGTCCGTAGGCCGATGCTCTATCCACTGAGCCAAACCGGTTAGGGCCATTCCTTTCTTTAGATTAAAAATTATCTTAAAGGCAAAACTATATGGACACAGTAGATGCTGATGTCTGGAGGTGGGGAAGTTGCTGATTACAAAGGACACAAGGAATTTTTAGAGGAATGGAACTGTGCTATGTCTTCATTGTTGTAGAGGTCAGCATTATGAGCATGTTATGGAAGTTTTTTGAAACTCACTGAATTATACAATAAGAACAATAAATTTTATTATATCTATACTAATAAAAGGGTAATATGCTAATTAGACCAGATAGCCCAGACATCTTCCTGACGTCTTTCCTGACAAAGCCGGGGCCCCGGGCAAAGCCACCCAGAGTCCCAGGTGCCTGTGGCTGGCCCAGGCTTAGCTGGCCCGGGTCCCGGGTGCCTGCAGCCAGCCAGAGGGAGGGAAGTCTGGGTTTTGGGTGCGGGGGCCAAGGCAGAGGTGGTTAGGGGCAATTGGGCAGGCAGGCGAGCAGTTAGAGGTGATCAGGCAGGTAGGCAGAGATAGTTAGGGGTGATCAGGCAGGTAGGTGAGCAGTTAGGGACGATCAGGCAGGCAGGCAGGCAGGCAGGCGAGCGGTTAAGAGCCAGTGGTCCCGGACTGCAAGAGGGATGTCCGACTGCCGGTTTAGGCCCAATCCCAGAAGATGGATGGTGGGTCATATACAAGAGGGATCAGGCCTAAACCGGCAGTCGGACATCCCCTGAGGAGTCCTGGATTGCAAGAGGGTGCAGGCTGGGCTGAAGGACCCCTCCTCCCCCCCCCCCTGCATGAATTTCATGCAGTGGGCCTCTAGTATCTCTATAAGCCTGCATGGGAGAAAAATAACTTAGTTATATTCAGCTCCCTACCACATTCTCCTATGGTACCCAGAACAGTGCTCTGAACATAATATAAACCCACTCTCCTCTCGGTCTTTTTTTTTTTTAAATATTTTATTTTATCTTTAGTTAATCCTCACCCGAGGATATTTTTCCATTGATTTTTAGAGAGAATGGAAGGGAGGGGGAGAGACAGAGAGAGAAACATTGATGTGAGAGACACATTAATTGCCTCCTGCACACATCCCCGACTGGGACTGGGGATTGAACCTGCAACTGAGGTATGTGCCCTTGACCGGATTCAAACCCAGGATCCTTTCAGTCCAAGGGCCGATGCTCTATCGACTAAGCCAAACTGGCTAGGGCTCCTCTCAGTCTTTTCTAACTCATTCACCTAATGTCAGAATCATCCTCATTGCTCCTATCCCTTCTCCACATCCACTCCACCAGCAAGTCTTAGGTGCTCTACCTTCAAATCATATCTCTACTGCCATCACCCCAGTCCAACATTTCTCCCCTGGATGAGACCATTCTAACTATTCTCTCTTCAGTTTTCCACTTCCACTTGGCCTGTTCTCCACACACAGCCAAAATAACCGTTAAAGTGATTCTTTAAAAACATGAATCTGATATTAAAAGCCTCTTGATGAGTCTGTCCTCCTTCTATGTATATATTCTTCTAAGAGTACCTTGTCTATGAACACTTCTACACAAGGCTGGTTTTCTACCTGTGAGAAATTTTCATTCAAGAATCATTCAAGTATTGAACTAATATTTACTGAGCACTCACCAAGTGAGCATACTGTCCAAGGCTATACTGTGTGGCAACCAGAGCTCTCAGACAGTTCAGAGTCTGGCTGAGGAGACAGATGTGCACACCCAGGCAGCATCCTCCTGCATATGACCCATCATCCATCTGCCTACTTTGTGTCCCTGTTCTTCATCTCCTTAATTGGCTAAAATGTGGAACCAAGGTGTATGCTTTTACTTATCTTTTTGAATAATTTTATGTTCTTCCTTTATAGTATTTCTTTATTTTTAAAAATTAGTAAAGTGGGAAATAAAATAACAAAAAGGTTCCCTGGCTTCCCAAATATCTTAGAATAGAATCCAAACCCCTTATTATGGCCTTCAAGTTTCTACATGCCCTGTCTCCTGCTTAACTCTGACCCAATCTCCTCATATTTCCTCTCTCACCCAGGCCACACCAGCCAAACTGACCCTCTGGCTAGACCAAGCCTGTTCATGTACTTCTACCTACAATGTTCTTCCACTGACCTTGGCATGTAGCAAAAATGTTTGGGAAGAAAGGAAATAACACTAAGAGGTTGGGTAAAGGTTGCACAAAGGCAAATCAGTTTGGAGATGACTCAGTATAAAAGCAGACATACTGTCAGAGAGACTTGTATTTCAGATTATGATCAAGAATGACAGGGATGCCCTGCCAGTGAGGCTCAGTGGTTGAGTGTGAACCTATGAACCAGGAGGTCACGATTCGATTTCCAGTCAGGGCACATGCCCAGGATCCCCAGTGTGGGGTGTGCAGAAGCCAGTCAATCAATGATCCTCTCGCATCACTGATGTTTCTATCTGTCTCTCCCTCTTCCTTCCTCTAGGAATCAATAAGAATATATTAAACAAACAAAAAAAGATGACTGGCAGCCATATATTCTATAAGGCTATTGAAGACAATGAACTTTCACGCTGTCAATGCCAACCCCCAGACTTTGAAATAAAAAATAATTGATATGTAATTACCAGTATAGTCATCAAAGTTGACTCTTCCTCTCATTGTGTTCACAACTGACTCTGGCTGCTCAAAAATTTCCTTCTGCATAAATGAACTGAAGTTGCCTAAAGGAATATAAATTATATCATTAAAACAAACAAACAAAAAAATAAGCCAAAGAATAACAAATTTGTACAAAACTGAAAATCTATCTCCTTTGACATAATCTTAGTAAATGAAATGAAACAAAAGGTCATGCCATTGAGGACAATGCTCATATATGACATTCTACCTATGTGAAGAAAAATGAACAAGGAGAAAGAATCATGTAAAATATGCAGTTACAGATAAACAGGGGAGTGGGACAAGCTTAAGTTTTGGATTCAAACCTAGGTTTGAATTAAGGATGTTATTAGCTAAGAGACCCTGGGGAAATACCTTAATCTGTAAATTAAAAACAGCAACTACTTCATAGCATTGTAGTATGGACATATACAGACTTGACACATAGCTATTACATAGTGTTACTTTTTTTTTTTTTAAATATATTTTATTGATTTTTTACAGAGAGGAAGGGAGAGAGATAGAGAGTTAGAAACATCGATGAGAGAGAAACATCGATCAGCTGCCTCCTGCACATCCCCCACTGGGGAAGTGCCTGCAACCCAGGTACATGCCCTTGACCGGAATCGAACCTGGGACCCTTCAGTCCGCAGGCCGACGCTCTATCCGCTGAGCCAAACCGGCTTTGGCCATAGTGTTACTTTTTATTCCCACTACAACCCCACCAGAAAGGAGAATAAAAGCCACAATCACAATAATTATCTATAATAAAAATGTAATATGCTAATTAGACTGGACGTCTTTCAGGACACCCGGGTCCCAGGTGCCTGCCTGTGGCTGGTGGGAAGCCCAGGTCCCGAGTGCCAGAGGGACGCTGGTGCCAGTAGCCGGGGGAAGGAAGGCCTACTCTTGCATGAATTTTGTGCATCAAGCCTCTAGTAATAGATAAGAGCAGCAAACGTTATGTAGGGTTCATCAAGTGTGTCAGGCACTATTCTAAGGGCTTTACATGTATTGGCTCTCTTAATCCTTAATGAGGTAGAACCTATTATCCTCACTTTATATATAAGAAAACTCAAGCCCAGGGAGAATAAGAAAGAAATAAAGAGCAGAACACAAACTATGTTTATAAAGCATCTTAAAATTTTCAAGTACTATTTAAATCATCTCTTTTTAATGTTAGAAAAGAAAACCATGGATTAATTGGAGGAAAACTATTATAAAACTAACAGATAATTTCTTCAAAGAATCATCTCTTTTCCTGTGGCTGTCCCTTCACTACTCATGTGGACAATTTCACTCAGCACTGTGTTACCAGATTTCTACACTAGGACAGGAAGTAGAATGAACCCTTTCCAATAAGGACACCAAGCTATAACATGACAAAACTTTCACCCTTCATGATCTGCTGGAGTTCCATCTGGAGGGTTTGCACAGCTCTTCCAGGGTGATCTCCTGCAGTTCGTTTAATTCGATGGATAGAAAGACGGCCATCTACCACCGCTGCTACGTCATCATCTTCAAGGAAGATGACGCGATTGGTGTGTTCTATGACAGCACTATAAAACATTCAAGAACATATTACAATCAATAATCAAGGATGATTATTAAAACTATCATTAGGACACAAAAATCAAATTTAAATAAAAACTCAGATTTTTAATTATTTCCTACAACTTTTGTGATATACTGTTAGTACAGTTTCGGTAGTATTATTATACTTGAAATCCTTTTTTTCTTGAAATATTAATGTTTATTGCATGTAACATTATATTTGAAAAATAAACTTAAAAAAAAAATACAAACTCTATCATTCTGCAATATTTCTGATAGCTTTCTGGTTATTGATGCCATTCCTTACAGGGAAGTCAGGGTGAGGGGTGGTCACTGTGGACAGTAAATAAAAGGATCTCTATGCAGCAACCTAAACCAAATTAGATTAGATCTGAAAGAAAACATGGTTGTTTCTTCCTCATTCTATCCATCACCAAATACTCCAATTTTAACTCCTAAGTATTTCTCAAAGCTTCTATGTCCACCACCACAAACCAGTTCAAGCTATCATCAACTCTGCTGAACTACTATAGCAACCTCCTAACTTGTCCACCCACATTCCCTCTAATCTCTCTCCATCCACTGTCCATTTCTGCCAAAATGAATATCAAAAGGCAACTCTGATCAGGATTTCTCTCTCATCCAGCAAACCACATGACTGCTTCCCTTTGGCTCTTAGGAAATCAACAAAATGCGTAACTGTGACCCCTACCTCCTCCTCTAGCCTCATTTCCCACCTCTATTCCAGCCCACACTCCCACCCATCCCAAGCTCTCACAGGCTGATCAATCTGCAGAGAATGAATGTCCTTTCCTCCATCTCTCACCTATTTAACTCTCATTTCAAGCATCATTCCCTTAAAGAAGTTTACTCATGAGGGTAAGTCACCTGTTATAAGCATTCTATAACTCTCATCACAGCTGGAATTCTACACTTGTGTGACTATTGATTAAAATTTGTCTTCTCCATTAGAAAGAGCTCCTTGCCCTAGCCAGTTTGGCTCGGCAGATAGAGCATCAACCTGCAGACTGAAGGGTCCCCAGTTCGATTCTGGACAAGGGCACAGGCCTGGGTTGCAGGCTCGATCCTCAGTAGGGGGCGCGCAGGAGACAGCCAATCAATGATTCTCTCTCATCATTAATGTTTCTGTTTCTTTCTCCCTCACCCTTCCTTTCTGAAATCAATAAAGATATGTAAAAATAAAAAAGAGCTCCTTAATGACAAATAATATTTTTTACTCACCATTATCTCCTAAGCACAGTACATGCTTTGCTAGTATGCAGTTAAGACCATATGAATGAATGAGTAAAAAACGGCTGAGGTGTTTCTGCAACCTCTTTTATTTAAGCTGTAAGCGTCAACTCTGTAACAAACCTACTTAATGACGGCAATGACACATCTTAGCACTGACTATACACCTGTAAAACATTAAAGCATAAAGCTTGTTTTCCCACTGAGATAATAAATTCTCTAAAGTCCCAAACTCCATCAGTTTTCACTTTTAGGTCCCTCTACTTTCAGGCACAATGAATGACTCAAATACATGTTAGCAATTTGAATGATTCCATTTTATATCCATTACTAGAGGCCCGGTGCACAAATTCGTGCAGGGGGCAGGGGGGCAGCTAATCGCAGCCGATCAGACAGGGCCAGCCAGGGGGAGAGGACGCGGGAGGTTGGCTGGCCGGCCCCAGCCATGATCAGGGGGAGGGCCGGCTGGGGGAAGGGACCATAGGTGGTTGGTCAGCCAGCCCTGGCCCCTGGTCGAACTCCCGGTTGAACTGCCGGTTGAGGGGACAATTTGCATATTAGCCTTTTATTATATAGGATTATTAGTATTTCATTTATAAATGCATCTAAGCATCCCACTGCATTTTCTCACATAGTCTAGTACTATTTCCTTTGTAAAACTGATTATGTTGCCAATTACTTCTGAATTAAAAAGATAAACGTCTACATTAGACTAAAAGTAAAATGGTTTAGCAACTTTCCTATACTTGGTAGGATACTAAACTATTAACACTCCAATCTAAAATCTTTCATCCTGCCCTGGCTGAGTAGCTCAGTTGGTTATAGCACTGTCCCAATATGCCAAGGTTGTGGGTTCAATCCCTAGTCAGGGCACACATAAGAGACAACCAATGAATGTATAAATAAATGGAACACCAAATCAATGTTTCTATTTCTCTCTCTCTCTCAAATCAATAAATAATAAATTTTTAAAAATCTCTCCTCCCTATAAAACCTAGATAAGGCTCCTAAAAAAGGAGAAAAAAATACATGAGCTCAGCATAAATACATTGGAACAAGTCTCAAGGTTTATTATCTGTTCTTTATTGATCTATGTGCTTTGAATTGAGAGAAAAGGTGTTCTTAAAACCCATCTCCAAAAAAAGGTCACGTTCACTTTCTTAATTAACAAAGTTCTCCTGTACAACATGACCACATTAATACAAAATGACTTTCTGGTTTCCTGTAGCATCACAAGTTTCACTACAAATTCTCTTTGAATCAACTAAGGGAGCTCACCTTGCATCAGAAGCAAAGTAATATTCCACCGCTTTTTCCTCAACAGGGAAAAGGCAAGTTGTGCTGTCCACACGAGAGAGATTGCAGCTTCCTTTCTTATCTTTGCCTAGAGCGCAGAGTTAATAGCTAAGCATGTAGTAAAATATACATAATTTTCTAGAAAAATCAACAAAAAACCATAGCAACACAAAGTAATTTGAGCAGCTTTAAATGCTGAAAAAAAAGATCACTTATTTCCATGCAAGAAGAAAAACAGACAAAGCATGTACAGTGAAATAACAACTATCAAAGAGAGTACGGCCGATAACTGTGCTATAATATAAATGTTTTTAATATTTCTTTTCCAGGTAAAAATCAAAACACTTTATTAATATCACTCTTTTTTAAGAAAGTGTGTATATATATATATATATATATATATATATATATATATATATATATGGAACTAATACATGTTTGTATACCTAAACTTATCATAAAATCACATTAAAAATATCAAAATTGTATAATAAAAAATAAAGACAAGTGGCATAGTAATTTTTATTATCTCATAACAAAACTTCTCTAGAGTTTAATAATAATTTTGTGCCCTGCTGGTGTGGTTCAGAGTTTGAGCATCAACTCATGCACTGAGAGGCTGACAGTTCAATTCCCAGTCAGGGCACATGCCTGGGTTGTGAGCTCATTCCCCAATGTGGGGCATGCAGAAGGCGGCCATTTCTCTCTCATAGATGTTTCTATCTTTCTCTCTCTTTCTTTCTCTCTCTCTCTCCTTCTATCTCTAAAATCAATAAAAAACTATTTTTTAAAAAATAAAAAGCAAACAATTAAAAAAATAGTAAACTGACCTAACAAATCAAGATATAGTCTCCACTAACTGTAATTTAAAAACAAAACAGAGACGCTTATAACTCTAACAAATAAGGAATGAAAATATAAATGCAGAACCTCTTCTTTCTTAAAACTGAGTTTTCTGCCGAAACCGGTTTGGCTCAGTGGATAGAGCGTCGGCCTGCAGACTGAAGGGTCCCGGGTTCGGTTCCGGTCAAGGGCATGTGCCTGGGTTGCAGGCACATCCCCAGGGGGAGGTGTGTAGGAGGCAGCTGATCGATGTTTCTCTCTCATCGATGTTTCTAACTCTCTGTCTCTCTCCCTTCCTCTCTGTAAAAGATCAATAAAATATATTTTAAAAAACAAACAAACAAAAACAAAAACTGAGTTTTCTAACATTTAAGTTCGAAAAAAGGAGTAATGGTCCATTTGCATTGACAATATCCTCTTAATTCTAGCACTTTAGAATTTTGGCATCTCTACTTAATTCGTCAATCACTGATGAAGATTTTTTTCCTTTTTGCTCATTCACAGCTAAAGTCAAAACTGGAAAGCATACTGAAATTTGACAAATTAGCAAATATATTTTTTAATCTATTAATTGAAGACTATATAAATGTCAAAGAGACAAAAGAGCACCTTTCTCTAAAATCAGGACATAGTAACTATATAACCTACGTACACAATGACCAGACATCATCATAAATATACTTGCAAAAAATTCATAATGTGTTAATCCTCTAAAATGCATGTCTATAAAGACTTGGAAGTAATTATTCTTAGAAATACACATCCAAAGTTCTCCACAATCCATGATTATTTGGTGAGGTTTAGGCATGAAAACCAAATATTTCTTCCCATCCAAATTCAATAGCAGAAAAGATACTGCACTTCAAAAAATAAGTATTAGGTAACATCCTAGAAAAGATAATACTCAAGACAGATAAAACAGATCAGTGTCTGCCAGAGGCTGAGAATGGGGACCAGGGTTGATTACAAAGTGGCAGTGAGAGGGAACTTTTTGAGGGATGGAATTTTTCTGTATCTTGACTGTGGTAGTGGTTACACACCTGTTTGCATTTGACAGAACTCAGGAAATTTTACATGAAAAAGAGTGAGTTTTATTGTCTTTCAAAAAGTGAATCAAGCCTTAGCCAGTCTGGCTCAGTGGGTAGAGCGTCGGCCTGTGGACTGAAGGGTCCCAGATTCGATTCCAGTCAAGAGCATATGCCTGGGTTGCAGGCTCGACCTCCAGTTGGGGGTGTGCAGGAGGCAGCCAATCAATGATTCTCTCTTACACTGCTGTTTCTATCTCTCTCTCCCTCTCCCTTCCTCTCTGAAATCAATAAAAAATATATTTAAAAAAAATAAAAAGTGAATCAGGAAATACGTAAAATGCATACTGACCGGTGTGGCTCATTTGGTTGAGCATCGTCCCATGCACCGAGAGGTCATCAGTTAGATTCCTGGTGGGGGCACACACCCAGGTTGCAGGCTCAATCCCCAGTAAGGGGCGTGCAGGAGGCAGCTGATCAATGTTTCTCTCTCCCTCTCCCTTCCTCTCTCTAAAATCAATAAAAACATCTTTTTAAAAAAATAGGCAAAATGATAGCCCAGCACCTACATTTTTTTAAATAAACACAACCAGCTTTGGTTATATAATGCACTAATGGGGCTGAGTTTCACTATACATATTCTTTCTCCAAATATTGGTTATTTCATTCTTCAAGTAACAAAGTATATTTAATTATAATATTCAGAAGAAGTTAAGGTATCATTGCCAATTTAAATGAAAAGAACACTACTACTTGACACCTATATGACTCTTAAAATCTATAAAATGTCTTTCTATATTCTCTCATCTGATTTCATTTAAGTGGAATACAATTATCATCATTCCACTTTATTTGGTCACCTGGAGAAAATAGTAACAGCCTAAAAGCCAGTTCAGGGTTCTCCTCTTTACACAGCCTCTTCAATAAGAGGCCTATTTTTTAAATTACTCTGTTGAGCACACTCCCTACCTATTAGGAGCTAGAGAAGTAAGGGTTACTAAAACAGAAACTCTCATCTCAAAAAGATCTGTTCCGTGATAAACGTTTCCTCCAATTTCTTAAAACCTTAGCCAACGTTTTCCCATTGTTTCTAAAAGCTTAAAACAATGTACAAGGTAATATATAGGTAATGTATACACAGCAGAATTATTAACAGAAATCTGGAACTCTGGATCCAAAATTTGCACTCTCACTGATAGACTAGTTTTTCTTCTGAAAAGGGAGGGAGGGGGATGAGGAAGATAAAAAATTCTAACATCTCAGAACTTTTATCTGCTACAGATAAAATAGTGAAAGCAGTTACAATCTAAAGATGAATAGGTTTAGAGTATTTCGCTAAATTTTTTTCAAGAAATCAAGAATTACACATTAATAATATAAGTTCTAATTTCCTGAATTTACTTTTAGTAATAAGCAAATGGTAAGAGCACATCTTTTTAAAAATCTAATTATATCCATGAAATGTTCCAGAGTTCATATAGCTGAAAGTCTTATAAAAAATTCAAACTTATTAAAAAAGAACAATTCCAAATCCAAACAAAGCCAATCAAGATACTGAATGTAAATCTAAAAATAAAATGTCATGCATAAAATAAAAACCATTAAAACCGACTATGTCAGTTAAAAATTAGGCTGAATTATTCAAATTGTAACTAAGTCCAATCTGTAGTAGTCTAGAACACAATGCTCTTTTCCCCATCTTGGCATCTTAGTTATAATAAGGTATCCTACATGATTTTAATTTAAAGCAAAGGAAAAAAACTATTTTTTTCAAATCTCAGAGACTTTAAAGAAACCAATTACTAAAAGCAGTTTCCTAAATGCCAAAAGCAGACAGACAAAATATACTCTGCAAGTTAGAAAAAATGTCAAAATATATTTCCCCATAAAATAAGCACATTTTTAGAGGCCCAGCACATTCATTCACTCCAAGAACAAAGAATTAGTAAAGCATAAACAAAACAGGATAAGATTCCTCCCCATCCATGCAGTGCATTTCCCACCTCTTTCTCCCTGTGATCCCCACCGTGTGAATTTTGATCCAATCTGAGTCCTAGCTATGGATATACAACAGAAAAAAATTCTACTTGTCAGAGAAATCACAAAACAAGTACTTTTCATGTCTAGACAGAAGTATATATGAGTGGACCTGACCAAAGAAGCATTTATTTCAATTTAAGGAAAACAATTCTTCATTATCTACTGCATTCAATTTATACATTCTACCCATGGCATGATGTAGGAACAGTTTTTACCTGTTCTGTAGAGTATTGGAATGTGATCAGTAGAGAGTTTATGTTCACTTCGTACACCAATCAACAGAGGGCTACCTCGTCTGTTAGTACAAAATTAAACATAATTAAACCATTTTTACAAACCACACATGAATGATATAAAATTTATATGTGATGACAACAGAACACTCTTCAAATAAAGTTTAAATTCTCCCTCCAAGCTCAACTTCAGATATAACAACAGATCAATATAAACAGACGTTTTAAACAAAACATTCAATAACAGAGCTAAGCAAATCTGTGTTCAATTTTTATTGGAACACAGTCATGCCCATTCTTTTACATATTTTCTACAGCAGCTTTCACACTACAAGAGCAAAACTGAGTAGTTGCTATACAGGCCATTATGGTGAAGGGAACATTTATAGTGTACAGAGAATAAACTTATAATTCAAAAGTTTCAAAATACATATAATTATTAGGCATTATTAAATTTACACATACCTTGTGACAACTGCTTGGCCAGGAAAATGAACACTTTTAAATACAAGTGCAAAAGCACCTTCCTATGGAGGGAAAAAAATGAGTCAGCAATACGTATGATAATCAATTATCAAATGTGACATGTCTAATACATACTGGCTTTACCACAGAAACTTTTTGTTTACATAACCACTTTTTGCACTAGTTTATAAATGAGTCTAAATATTAGGCAGACACTTCCTCTTGAGCTTTGGTGTATAAAAGAGTCACTTTTTAAACAAGCTTACTCTTCAAATAGGCTCAATAGATAAATAGCTCCAAAACAGACCATTTTAATGGAAAGAACACATTTTTTTTTTTTTGGTCTAATCTATATATATAAAAGCCCAGCAACAGGAATGGCAGAATGACCAGAATGACTGGTGGCTATGACACATACTGCGGCACCAACTGGCCTGATTCAGGCCCCGATCAGCCCCCCCAATCCCAATCGGGAGTGGGGCCAGCCAGCCAACCACCCACAGCCCATCCCCCCCGCTGGACTGGCCTATGGGCCCCCATTGGGGTGAGCCAGTTGAACCCCACTCGTGCACAAATCCATGCACTGGGCCTCTAGTTATATCAATAAAATGTTCTAGGGTTTTTATAGCTGAAAGTCCTATAAAAAATTCAAACATACTACCAATGTTTCTCAATAAATCAATCATATCTCCCATATTATACATTAATAAAGGGAAGATAGAATTAGGAAAGGACCTAAGTTCAATACCCAAAACCCATTTTATACCACTGTTAACTTACACTTTTTTTTACCTTGACATTGGAGATAAATATATACAATCACAATTATTAACATGCATATCATACCACCCCCTCCACCCAACCTCCTCAAGGACAGGGCCTAAAGAAATCAAGAATGAATAAAGGAGGAACATGAGGTAGGAGAAGGAAGAAAACACCATAGAACACAAACTGGGTTATACATTGAGTAGAAATAAGACAAGACTGGGAAGGCACAATACTCTGCCTTGAGTAAAGGGATGGAATGGACCTCTATTTTCTTCATCTTTCTGTCTCCTCCTTTACTGTAGATATCATAAGGATGGGAGGAGGTGGGAAATGAGGGCTGGACCTTCACTGAGAAGTAAAGGGCTTTTAAATGGGAAAGCTAGAGCTATGAGTGGGGGAGGGGGATAGAAATCACTATGCATTTGGACTTTTGTGGATCTTTAATCTTTATTTAGGGCACTTTAGATGGGATCAAAAAGAATACCACTTTTCTCTTGGACTGGGAAATACTTTTCCATAGAGGCAAAGAGCCAAGGAAAAGTCCCCATAACGAAAAATAAGGAGTTGACTAGACTACTCAGAGATAAGCAAACATTATCCCAGAATAAAAAGTGTACATTTCACTGAAACTAACCTGAGCAGGAAGCAAGAAAATGATGAGTCCCTGTCTATGTATACTGTATGCATGTTTGTGTGTGGTATGTATGGGTTTGTATGTGTTTGTGTGTGTGTGTATGCATGCATACGTTTTGGACAAACTGATTTTAGGTTACTTCAATTCCCCTAACACAAAAGTACAGTGAAAGAAGCAGGATTTTAAGCGTGTGGGAAAGGAGGGTTCATCAGTGAAACAACAATCCCTCAAAATTATTCAGGTTGAAAAGTTATATATGAAAAGTAAAAGCCAAAAATATTTTAAAATTAGCATAGTTCCTGCTTCTCAAACTTAATTTTAAGGACATATTATTAAAAAAAGATATATTATGATTAATGTTTGGAATAATTACCTTTAAAAAGGGGTAGTTTAAAGACTGTTGGTTGCCAGGGGTGAGGGAGGTTGGGGTGAAATAGGTAAAGGGATTAAGAAAAGTACAGATTGGCAGCTACAAAATAGTCCCAGGGATGTAAAGTACAGCACAGGCAATATAGTCAATAATATTGAAATAATTATGCATGGTGCCAGGTGGGTACTAGAAATATCAGGGGGAACACTTTGTAAAGTATATGATTTCCCAACCACTATTGAGTGAAAATTGTAATTAAAAAATAATTTTTTTAAAGTGTGATTTAATACCAATTGTTGGATAACTCTCTCCACCAAGGTAGTAAAACTGGTATCTTGACTTTCCCGATTGTCATACATGTACTTAACAAGCTTGGCAATTGTTTCTGTGTCTGTTTCAGATTCAAAGTCATAACCTTTACTTTCCTGTAATTAGAAAGAAAAAAAAAATTGACACATTTAAGGAAATATTCATCATATCCAAATCTTATCTACAGATTTTTTTTTTTTTCCCTCAAAAATCTCACTAATCAATTTCTAATCTTTTTGACCACCATATGCCATTACCCACTGTTCAAAATTAAGGTAACAGGAGGCAAGTCGAGATGGTGGCATAGGTAAACGCAGTACTCGCCTCCTCCCACACCTACATCAAAATTACAACTAAACTAGAAAATAACCATGATTCAGAACCACCTGAAATCTGGCTGAATGGAAGTCCTACAATTAGAGAATTAAAGAAGTAGACACATTGAGACTGGTAGGAGGGGCAGAGGCGCAGGGGCTGGTCCGATATCCATATGTGTTATCTTTTTAATCAAGAGGACTATCTTGAGCCGAAACCGGTTTGGCTCAGTGGATAGAGCGTCGGCCTGCGGACTGAGAGGTCCCAGGTTCGATTCCTGTCAAGGGCATGTACCTGGGTTGCGGGCACATCCCCAGTAAGAGATGTGCAGGAGGCAGCTGATCGGTGTTTCTCTCTCATCGATGTTTCTGACTCTCTGTCTCTCTCCCTTCCTCTCTGTAAAAAATCAATAAAATATATTTTAAAAAAAAAAGAGGACTATCTTGGCTTATGCAGAGGTTCCTAATGAGGAGCAAAGGGTTCCAGCCCCATACCAGACCCCTCAGGCCTAGCCCCACACCAGACCCTGGGAAGAGAAGTCTCTAACTTCAGGCTATAAAAACCAGTGGAGATTGTGGCACAGTTGGGTTGCTGAAGTCCCAGGCAGTTCCTCTTAAAGGGCCCACACACAGACTTACTCTGACTCACTGCCTCTGAGCTCCAGTGCTGGGGCAGCAACTTGAAAGGATCCAGGAACATATGGGAGGAACTAATTTGTCTGGCATCAGGGCAAGAACTGGGGCAGCTTTATCCCACACAAAAATGCTGGCAGAGGTGCAGAGAAGACCTCCCTGCCACAATGCCAACAGACAGTTGCAATATCTGAGTATCCATCAACCTGGCCCACTAGTTCACTCCACCCTCATGATTCCCTGAGACCCCACCACACCCAAATTGTGTGCCCACCCAACCTGTTTGTAGTGGCTTTTCCATATAAATGGCCTCTTGGCTCAGGCTTCAGACTTTCCTAATATCTCTCAAACAAGCAGCAGCTGGCCTAGCATGCCCCATACCTCTCGATAAGTGGCCCTAGAACCAGCAATAGCAGCAGCCTGCCTTGGCCTCTCCTGGGCACCTCCAAGCCCAACACAAGTAGCAGCCATCTGCAGATCACTCCATAGCTTGACGGGTGTCCCCAGGCAGGGCACAAGCAGTAGCTGACTTTGCACCTCCCAGGAGGCCCCAGAGCCACTGTACCCGGTGGTCAGCTTCAGACCATGCCAGATTACAGCCTATCACATCCACCAGTGACATACTGAAGGGGCAGACTTGGTGAGCACCAAAGCCCCACTAAAGCAAGTCCTGCTCCATAAGGGTGTCTCCTACACAACAGCTCTTCCTCTGTAGTCAAAGCTGGTCTGCACAGCCAATTGGCCTGGGGGTCAATCCCTCCCAGTGATGCCAAAAGCAATTGAGGCTCAACTACAACAGGAAAGCACATACAACCCACACAGGGGCACACTTAGAGTGCCCAGCTCAGGTGACTGGGGAGGCTAAGCCACAGGGCTCTACAGGACACATAATACACAAGGCCACTCTAACAATTCCAGGTGACATAGAAGCTCTACCTAATACAAAGAAACAAACACAGGAAAGCAGCCAAAATGCAGAACAAAGAAACATGTCACAAATGAAAAACAGAAAAAGAACTAAATAAATGGAAGCAAGCAAACTACCAGATACAGAGTTCAAAGGATACTCAAGAAACTCAATGAAAACTTCAAGGAACTTGGTGAGAACCTCAAGGAACTTAGTGAGACCCTCAACAACATAACAAAGGAAAAGTCAGAAATGAAGTCTACACTAATTGAAATGAAGAATAATTTACAGGAATCAACAGAAGAGGATGATGAGAATCAAATCAGCAATTTGGAATGAAGGAGCAAAAAACACCCAATCAGAAAAGCAAAAAGAAAAAAGAATCTAAAAATATGAAGATAGTGTAAGGAGCCTCTGGGACAACTTCAAGCATACCAACATTCACATCAGGGGGATGCCAGAAGGAGAAGAAACGAAGCAAGAAATTGAAAATCTATTTGAAAAAATAATGACAGAAAACTTCCCTTACCTGGTGATAGAACAAGACATACAAGTCCAGGAAGTGCACGATGAACCCAAAGAGGCCCATACCCAAGACATAATTAAAATGTCAAAAGTTAAAGACAAAAAGAGAATCTTAAAAGCAGCAAGAGAAAAGCAGTTAGTTACTTACAAGGGAGCACCCATACGACTGTCAGGTGATTTCTCAACAAATTTTGTAGGCAAGAAGGGAGTGGCAAGAAATATTCAAAGTGACGAAAAGCAAGGACCTACAACCAAGATTATCCAGCAAAGCTATCATTTATAATTAAAGGTCAGATAAAGAGCTCCATAGACAAGAAAAAGCTAAAGGAGTTCATCACCACCAAATGAGCATTAATGAAACGTTAAAGGGTCTTCTTTAAGAAGGAAAAAAAGGATAAAAAATATGAACGATAAAATGGCAATGAATACATATCTATCAACAACTGAATCTAAAAATCAAAATAAATGAACAAGGAATCTAATGAATAAAATAAATTGATGAATAAAATAGAATCAGAAACATGGAAACATGGAACACACCAACAAATCTCAGAGGGAAGAGGGGGGGTGTGGGTGGAAAGTGATTAACTAAAGAACTTACATGCATACATGCATTACCCATGAACACAAACTATAGAGGGGTGAAGGCCTGAGGCAGGGTGGATCCGAGTGGAGGGGGACAATAAGGTGAAGAAAGGTGGGGAGGGGTGAGGACACATCTATAATATACTCAACAATAAAGTTTTAAAAAATAAAAATAAAATAAACAACCCAGCTGGTGTGGCTCAGTGGTGGAGTGCCAACCCATGAACCAGGAGGTCACAGTTCGATTCCCAGTCAGGGCACATGCCTGGATTGCAAGCTCGATCCCCAGAAGGGGGCGTGCAGGAGGCAGCCAAACGATGATTCTCTCGCATCATTGATGTCTCTCTCTCTCTCCTTCTCCCTTCTTCTCTAAAATCAATAAAAATATATTTACATAAATCTATATGCCAATATGAATTAAATTTTAAATAATTAAAATATAAGAAAATATATAATATAAAAACAAATCCCATAATGAATATAATAATTCTTTATTTAACAATGATATTTTACTATGCAATACTATAGACATTAGATATACGTGGCTATTTAAATTTAAATTGATTAAAGTGAAATAAATTCAAATTTAGTTCCTTAGTCATACTAGCTCAAAAGCCATATATGGACAGTGGCTACTATATTGGACAGTACAGATATGGAAGGTTTCCATCACTACAGAAAGTTCAGTTGGACAGACCTGAGAAGCCATTATAAAAGTCATCATCATGATCATTACTAGGTAAGTACATAGCTATTTAGGGCATAGAACCTTCATTTAATCTGTTCTGATTCCTCTTACATATCCTAGAATCTTTTAAAAATGGCAAACAAGGTTCCTCTTAATGCAAAAGACATAACCCCAAAATTCCAATTTTAGTTGAGTTTCTGGATCATTCATAACAAAGCCAAATAATTGTTTCCTTTTCATATAAGGAACAAAAATGTTCCACTGTCGACAAAGAAAACTCCAATAAACCACCATACCCTTGAAACTGTCTTAAGTATTACTTGATCACACCTAGATAGTATTTATTGCACATCTCAACAAACAACCTCACTGCTCTCATTAGAAGTATTGTCAAACACTGGTGGTCTTTTTAGGTCAATTTACTTACCAAAAACTTTTTCAAGTCTTTGTAGTTGGTGATGATTCCATTGTGAATAACAATAAATTCTAAAAGAGATAAAGAAATTAATGACCAAAAATTACAGGTCTAGTAAACATTATAAACAGTCATTACTGGTAAAGAGATTTTTCAAAAAAGACAAAAAATGTGTCACATGCTATACTTCAAGGTGTAATCAAGTAGTATCTACTTTTTGTTACCAGGTTATCCTTGGGTAGATCAGCAGCACAGTTTATGTGGCTTAGTGGAAGTAAAGAGTGCCAGGGAGGTGGGTACAGTGGGGAAATACAATAAGCTGGTGTCTAGAGTCATCAATTTCAGCTGTGGCTAAATTACTAACCCAATGTCATCATGTGAAAGGAGCAAATTCCTTGGGTATATGTGCTCATTTGCAAATTGAGAAGGTTGAACTAAATAACTATTATTCTCACTTCTTTATTCATCCATTCTTATGCATAAAACATTCCTAAATTTAAAGAGAAACCTTTCAAACTAATACAATTATCTGATTGCACTAAATGAACTTAAGAACTAAAGTTAAATAAATTAATAAGAAAAACCAGACATTATTCAGTTCTATAATTAAATCTATTTATCTGAGGTCCAGATAATTCCTAAGTGATAAATAAATGTTAAAACAGAATTCCAACATCAAATACACATGATAGTGGGATAATTTTCAACTTTATGAAATAACTTTGAAGAATGTAAAAATGGATAATCAAGAGTTGACAATATTATTATTTATAACTACTGACAATGTAAAGATCACTAATACGAATTTATTATTTAAAGTTCATGTAAGTGAAGAGAGAAATTACCACTAAATTCAATTTTATATCAAATTATAAAAATGCTTTTAAAATACTTAACAATCTGATATTTTGACCTGACATTAAATGTCAAGACTAAATGCATTACAACCCAGATAATAAATTAAGCATTTTCACTAGATTTTTTAAGAAAGAAAAAAATGATACCACAAAATACTACCACTACCAAAAAAAAACTAAATATTTTTAATGCTAGAACACAGAGAATCATAAATAGCTAACAGCTGACATAAAGACTTAATTAAAGCCAATTTCTCAAAATATAATCTAGATATGTTTTTAGGAATTTTTTATAAAGGCCTTGTCAGAATTAAACGTTTGAGAGGTTAGGTTGTTAGCATTCTAATCTGGTTCAATGATAATTATGTGAAGCATAGAAACCTAAAACGGCAGCTTCTTAATTATACAATCTTATCTCAAAAGGGATGTATATACACACACATACATATATATATACACACACATACTTTTGTATGTATTTACTTATTTAACTAGAGGCCCGATGCACAAAATTTGTGCAAGAGTAGGCCTTCCTTCCCCCAGCTGCCGGCACTGGCTTCCCTCTGGCACCCAGGAGCCGGGCTTCCCTAGAAGCCCCGACTTCATCCAGAAGGTCGTCCAGAAGGATGTCTGGTCTAATTAGCATATTATGCTTTTATTATTATAGATTTTTAATTTTAGAGCGAGGAAAGAAGAGGGAGAGGAAGAAGGAGAGAGGGAGGGAGGGAGAGAGAGAGAAATATCAGTTTTGTTGTTCCACTTATTTATGCATTCATTGGTTGATTCTTATATGTGCCCTGACTGGGAATCAAACCCACAACCTTGCTGTATCGGAGGGACACGCTAACTGAGCTACCTGGCCAGGACTTTCTTTTCTTTTTTAAAAAACAAAAGAATAGACTCTTTTAAATGGTTATTTCCAGGAAAAGACGGAATAAGAAAAATAAGACAGAAACTAGACTTATTTTAACATGCCTATTTTTTTATTTTATTTATTTATTTATTTTTTTGTTAATCCTCACCTGAGGATATTTTGCCATTGATTTTTAGAGAGAGTGGAAAGGAGGGGAAGAGACAGAGAGAAATATCAATGTAGGAGAGACACATCGATTGGTTGCCTTCTACATGCAGCTGCACTGGTAAGTGTCCTTGACCAGAATCGAACCTGGGACCCTTCAGTCCACAGGCCATCACTATTCACTGAGCCAAACCAGCCAGAGTTTAACATGACTTTTTTATAGGTGTGACCTCAGAACAATGCAAATATTTTCATTTGAAATAAAATTGATTTTTTTTAAAAAATCAATCCCTAAAACTCAAAATAAAATATATTAATAGAATGCTGTATCCAGCTGGTAGCACAACTACAGATAGAAGGATTATTCCAAGTGATTCTAAAACATAGAAATTTGATTATATATATCCCTAAAGAGATATACCCTAAGGACAAAAAATTAACAAGAAAAACTAACAAACAACAGTAAATATATTCTTAAGGAAGTGTTGGTATTATGATTATTTTATGTATATCATGTAACAGATAAATAAGTATGTTACTGATGTTAAGAACTACATGAATAAAAGAAAATACATAGATCAATCAGGTAAAGTCAAAACCTTACAACCCTGAATCTGAGTTAGAATTGTTAGTGTAAAATTACGTTGTTTTATCTTTAAATTTATACGTGTACAAGTGCACACACAGAGGTATGTGTATCTCCTAGCTCTGCCCACTGAAAAGACCTATGTGTGATGAACACTTCTAAGACCTGGCTTACAGTCTTTACGTATCATTTCCACTAAAAAGAACTGGGGCTTCCTTAGAGAAATGGCCGATTCCAAGCATGGGGCAGGAGTAGAGGAACGTGGAACATCTTGGCCTACCAGAAAATAACAAAGACTATTGAGTCTACAGGGGTCACGTCAAAAGGACTTAGAAGACAACCTGAGTAAGTTCCCAATGGCCAAAGATTTTTGTGTATCAATATAGACAATTACTTCAGTGTTTTGAATCATATGAAATATTTTAAACCCATGATTTTATAATTTTAAAAAGAACTCATTATTCATTTTAGAACATATGAACCACTTCGTTTTTTAAAAATGGTAAATGAAGGGGGTGGAGGGAGATAAAACATTAATCCTGCCTTTCCTATATGCTCTGTAACTCAGGGTAACCAAGCAGTTGATATGGAGAAGATTCTCTTTATAGGGAAGTATTTGAGATAATAAATGAAAGAAGGAATGATAGTACTAGACTATCACCAATTTAAAACCCCTAAAGAAATAATCTTGGCAATGATCATCAATGACTGCTAACAACACAAAGAAAAACATCCAACATTATGACAAGAAAAGAAATTCTGAGATGTCCTAAATTAAATTACAGCAGGCCAGAGGGTGGGAAGAAGAGGCAGGGAGAGTTAATCAGTTAACAGAAACAAACAAAAAACTGCTAGCATTCCTTAATGTATGTTGAAGCTTTGAATCAACTTCTAGGCCCCTATTTCAGTTCTTATCTAGAGAGAATAGCCAACCACCAGATGGCACCCACCGCATCCTGTTAATGCATAACCTTTCTGGGCTGTTGCCCACAATCAATCCAAAAGCAACAAACACTTCTTCCTTACCATACACCTCTCCCAGAACTAGCCCTGCTTCACCTATTCCCACACCCCTTATCTATAGCCAATGTAAATTCTTTCAAAACAACTTACAGCTTTCTTCTCCAAAATTATCGTATAAAAGAACTCCATCAATCCCAGGATGGTGGGCATATTTGTCTTCCCAACTAGCCCTACTGATGGTGGTCTAAACTGTCCCAGAAACTGGTCCTTTTTCTGCCTAACTTATGGCTCAATAAATCCTTTCTTTCAGAAAAACGTTCAACCTCAAAGGTTATCATTTAACAATTATATACCTGCAGTTGTAAACAAACACTGTACCAATCCTATATAATAAAAGGCTAATATGCAAATAGACTGAAAGGCAGAATGACTGGTCACTATGACACGCATTGACCACCAGGGGGCAGACACTGAACACAGAAGCTGTCCCCTGGTGGTCAGTGTGCTAACACTGGGGGAGTGCCACTCAACCAGAAGCCAGGCTCATAGCTGGCAAGCACAGTGGCAGTGGCAGGGCTAAGGATGTCCGACTGACGGCTTAGGTCCGGCAGGGACTGGGCCTCAGCCATCAGTCGAACATCCCCTGAGGGCTCCCGGACTGCGAGAGTTCGCAGGCTGGGCTAAGGGGACCCGCCCCCCCCCTTCCCCCCAGTGCACGAATGTCGTGCACCAGGCCTCTAGTTTATAATAAATAAAATGGACAGAGAAACGTATTAAATGACCCACAGGATGCATGCAATTAACATGATCTAAACTATAAAAAATTCTATAGGACAAACAGAGTAAACTGTAAGGAAAAAGGAGAGAAAGGGAGAAGTCTCTTAAGAGACATATCAATCTACTAAATCCTTACCTTTTAGAGATACACTCTTAAATATTTACAAAATAAATATTATGATATCTAGCTATCTGTGATATATCTATCTATACAATATCTACTAGCTTCCAAGATAATCTAGGTAGGGGCTATGGATAAACATAACTGATCAGATATTGATAAATGTGGAGGGTGGGTAATGGATGCCTCAGGTTCTATATATTCTCTATATATGAATATGTTTTAAATTTTCCAAATTAAAATTATGAAAACATAAGAGCTTCCATTCTTTTCCCATTATCGAGCCTCTACAATCATTCCAAAGCATTTTTATGTCCATACCATTATTTTTATCAGAGCGCTGGGGATGGCTATTGACAGGATTGGGTTCGCCGTGTGTTGCCCAACGGGTATGAGCTATTCCAAGGTGTACATCAAATTCTATATCCAAATCCATATCCTGTTGTTCTGAAGATAAAATGAAAAATTCCAATATTAAATCATGCTGTAGAGATAACGCTATATTTCAATGTAATTATTACAGCACTGTTTACCTGGAATATACAATTATTAAAACTGAAGATCAGGCATACTCAAAATAGTAATTAAAAGATTTAGAGGAGTTAATGTAGGATGCAGCTGAAATATTTAAAACAAATGGTTCCAATAACAACCCAAGAAAATGTATTCAGAGAGATAAAGCACCCTGGCCAGTGTGGCACATTGGTTGGAGCATTGTCCCATGCACCAAAAAGGTAGTGAGTTCAATTCCTGGTCAGGGCACATATCCAGGTTATGGGATCAATCCTGGAAGGGCACATGCAAGAAGCAACCTATCAAAATTTCTCTCTCTCTCTCTCCCTCTTCCTCCATCACTCTCTCCCTCCTTCCCTTCCTCTCTCTAAAATCAATTTTTTAAAAAAAGATAAAGCAAATGTGACAATGTTAACAATTGGTAAAGATAGATGAAATATATGGGTGGTTAATGTATTTTTTCAACTTTTCTGGAGGCTTAAAAATTTTCACTCAGGAGTTAAGGACAAAGAGAGTGAATGTGATTTTTTAATCTATATTTAATCTTCACTTTGGAAATAATCAGTACTGTTTTAATTAGACATGTAAAAGTAAATTCATTTTCTCAGTGCCACAAGCCTTATAACTATAATTTCTTTGGTCCCCAAACATATCTCACAATATAAACTGCAATTATGGAGAGCTTCCAAAATCAAAGAATAGGTTCTTGTGAGCAGAGCAACACTGTGAAAATATGGGATTACAGACTGATACTCCTTGATCTTGTAAAGCAGCTATTCTGATTCCTTTTCCCTATGAGCTCTCTCTTCTTGCTTCTTCCAGGGATAGAGGGGGAGAGAGAAAAAAAGGATAGTTCTAGTTACTTAATAGTGATGCCCTTCTTCTAATTTCCTAAATATAAAATTCATTTAGCTAAGATAAAGCTTATCAGATAACAAAGTTTATCAGAATTAGGTCTAAATTAGGAATAAACTGCTCAGAACTCTGAACGTCCATGCACTTTAGCTTAGTCTTAAGCATAGTTTTTGTGGTTTTTATACTGGCTAATGAGAGGTCATTCTAAAATACAAATCTGATCAAGAAATAAGGTTTAAAATCCATGAATAGACTTCCATTGCTTTAAAAAGCGGTATGCACATATGAATCATCCTAAACCTAGTCACAGAGATTTGCAAAAAGATCCTCAAATTCTAACATATAACCAGAGAGCCATTTTCTCAAAATAAGGCCCATACCTTTTCATAGCATATAAGGTACTACATATCTATCCCCTATCTACCTTTCTATCCTCATCTCCCACCCCTCATCACTGTGACCCACGCCATCACCATCTCTCACCTGAACTACTTCGACAGAATTCTCACTAGTTCGTTTCCTTGTATCCAGTCTTCCATCTGTACAATCTAGTTCTGCACACTAACAAAAGTGATCCTTTCAAAACGAAGTCAGATTGTGTCACTCTCCTACACAAAATTTTCTAATGGCTTTGCATGACACACACAGTAAAATCCATCATTCTTAAGATCCTACATGACCTAGCCCTCAGCCACCTCTCTAGCTTCATTTCCCGCCACTCTTCTCACTTACTGTACCCTAGCCTCACTGACTTCCATCCTGCGATAGCCAAGCCCTCACAGGGTCTTTGCACTTGGTGTTCCCTCTGCCCAGAATTCCCTCTTTCAGACAATCACATGGCATCTGCTCAAATGTCACCTCTACTATACTTTTTCTTCATAGCACTAATCACTACTTAACATTATATATTTATCTGCCTGTTTCATTAAACAGTAAACTCCATCATGGCAGAGGGTTTTGCCTATCTTGTTCTGTTTTGACCTCAGGACCTAGAATGATGGCTGGTATATAATAGGTACTCAATAAATATTCATTTTACTATTGAATTCTCAGAATACTATGAGGGGAGGAGAGGCACTGTTTTCTCCATTTTACAGATTAAAAAAACTGAGGTTCAAAGAGATCACAAAATCTGCCTACCAAAGTTCATAGTGAATAGTAAGTAGAGATAGGATTTCAACCCAAATCTGGTTTACCCCAGAGCCTAAATTTAAAACCACAATGGTGCCCAGCCAATGTGGCTCAGTGGTTGAGGGTCAACCCATGAACCAAGAGTTCACCAGTTCAATTCTCGCTGGAGGCACATGGCATGCCCAAGTTGCGGGCTCAATTCCCAGTAAGGGGCATGCAGGAGGCAGCCAATCGATGTTTCTATCTCTCTATCCCTCTCACTTCCTCACTCTCTAAAATCAATAAAAACATATTTTAAAAAAACACACAATGGTAAACTCTGCTGCACTATTTATTACATTTATGACGTTGTCAATCTGGCTTCCATCAGAATTTGAGTTCTACAAAAGCAGCAGCTTATCTTACTATCTTTGAACTGTAAGCACTAAAAGCTAAATAAATAGGGCAGATACTCAAATCTTTATTGGATGGCTCCAACAATAAACAGATACAATCATCAATGCATTCTTTCCTGGCTTACCTGTGTTCTGAATAATTAAGGTGGCCTAATAAATGACCTCCAGATAAAGGATACTGTTTATCACTAGTTAACAAGCTAATGCAAGTAATAAAAGCATCTGATTAATTTAAAAAAGGCTAACTATAATTAAAGCATGTCCCCCAACACGTTGGCAAGCAACACTGGAGAAAGAGTCTTTAACAGGAATCTGTAAATTAAATCCATATCAAGTTCATGCTATTTACCAACTCTATTTACTTAACTGTTGCCATTTAAGAAACATGTACCCATGTTCCTTATTCATTAAGCTGATAGGTCATTCAATTCCCCAGCCAGTCATGACATCTTTTCTATTCTCCTTAAGCCTCAATACTACCTATATTCCTTCAATTTCCACTTTATTAAGCTTTTCCCTCTTACCTCATAACTGTCTAACTTAGCTTTTCTTTTACGTTTGACTCCTATAAAGGTTAACTCTCTCCCTGTGCCTTCACTTATCTGAGCTGTAACCCCTCAATAATTTCCTTACTTGTATCTTGTGTCTTCTCACCAACTTCATGCCCAAGGCTTTTTGCCCTCTTCATACCTTTTCTTAGATGTGACCCTTCTCTTTTTTAATAATTCAAATATTCAAATTTGCTGGCAGTGATAAAGACTCAAATACCTACATCCAGAAATAACAAACATCAACATAAATGGTCCTACTCCTTACATATCCTATACTGCAGGTTGCTTTTTTCGCTCAACATTAGGTTCCCCGTAATTCTCCAGGTCCCCACATGCAGAACCAGACCCAGTGCCCTCCTTTCAAAAGCTACATATGGTCACTCACTGTCATTACAATTTATTATCCCATTCCCTTACTGGTATTAATTATCCAAAATTAGCCGAAACCGGTTTGGCTCAGTGGATAGAGCGTCGGCCTGCGGACTGAAAGGTCCCAGGTTCGATTCCGGTCAAGGGCATGTACCTGGGTTGCGGGCACATCCCCAGTAGGAGATGTGCAGGAGGCGGCTGATCGATGTTTCTCTCTCATCGATGTTTCTAACTCTCTATCTCTCTCCCTTCCTCTCTGTAAAAAAATCAATAAAATATATTTTTAAAAAAATTATCCAAAATTAATAAATCACTTTGAAGAGCAATCTGGCCATGTCTATAAGAGAGATGCCTATACCCTGTGCCCAAGCACCTCTACTGTTGGTTATATACTTGAAAAAAAATACTGTGGACAAGGAGCATGACAAGATTCATTGCAGCAAAATGTAGAAACAACCTCTATGTCTACCAATATCACCCCAATAAATTTAATTTAAAAAAATTTTAAAAAGACTCTTTCCCACCCAGCTGGTGTGGCTCAGTGGTTGAGCATCAACCTATGAACCAGGTCATAGTTCGATTCCCGGTAAGGGCACATGCCTGGGTTGCGGGCTCAATCCCCAGTGTGGGGAGTGCAGGAGGCAGCCGATCAATGATTCTCTCTTATCATTGATGTTTCTACCTCTCTCTCCCTCTCTTTTCCTCTCTGAAATAAATACACTTTTTAATAAATTTTTTTAAAAATTTTAAAAAGGACTATCTCCCATTCCATCAACAAACTTGCCTTCCTTATGTTTGTCCTATGAAAGGCCCTTCCTCACAAATTGTGGTTACTTCATTTTAGAATACTGATCTTGCTCTAAATGCAGTGGACCTAACTAATTTCCTTCCCTAATTAAAATGATCATTTTTGAAGCTCAGGTATATTTTAAAACAGACAGTAACAAAACTACTTTTCTCCCCTCCCTTCAATATTAATAATCACTAAATGGGCCCTAAAATATGGGAAGAATGGTAATTTGATAAGGGAGAAGGAAGAAAAGGGGGAGGGGGACAAAAACTAAACTAAGTACATTACTGTGAACTTCTTCATCCAGTGCTTTTACTTTCCCTTTCTTCTTAATGAGCTGGATTTTGCCGGCATTTGCTTCCCAATCTTTGTCATTGCCTCCATCAACTCCCACACCTAAATCATCAAAAGGCAGAATAGCAAGATTTAAAAACTGGCTATTATTTAGATTATCAGTGTGAGGCAAAATTTTTAATTAAAATATTTTTAATCTAATTAATTCATTAACTTATTACCAATTCAACATATACTAAACATCCATTACATGTCAAGAACCAGAACAGCTGCTACAGACAAAAATGAAAATAACCCAGTTCCTTTCCACAAATTTCTAATAGTGTATTGAGAAGACAAAGACAAAAATAATTATATTCAGTCTGGTTTCAGATTATAAAAAAGTATTATACTAGCTTGTGAATGGAGTAGAGTAGAGAAAAACAGAAGATGGGCACCCACCTCAGAAGCGCGATAAAGAGGGAATGTCAGGACGTTCTCTCTTCAGATTCTACTTAAGATCCTAAGGAGTCTGACAAAGTTACTCTGAAGGTATTGGAAAAGCAGAGTAATTTGCGGTAGAGAAATCACATGACAAAAAAAGTTTTAAAAATCTCTTTGGAAACAGTGTAAGAAGTTAGACTAGAGAAACAGAAAGAAGAAATCAATTCTCAGAAGTTATAGCTATAGCAAATCTAAAAAAAGAGGGCCTTAACTAAACAATGGGAATGAAGATAGATATGGGTGATATTGAGTAGAAATGACTAGATATAACATGAGAAAGCAGGAGAAGTCTGGGTACCTCCTAGGCTCAAACAAAGGACTTGGTGATAAAAGGCACACAGAAAGTATTGATTGGAGAGTGGGGTGAAAACTGTTACTCAGTTCATGCCGAAATCGGTTTGGCTCAGTGGATAGAGCGTTGGCCTGCGGACTGAAGGGTCCCAGGTTCGATTCCGGTCGGGGGCATGTACCTGGGTTGCGGGCACATCCCCAGTAGATGTGCAGGAGGCAGCTGATCGATGTTCCTCTCTCATCGATGTTTCTAACTCTCTATCTCTCTCCCTTCCTCTCTGTAAAAAATCAATAAAATATAAAAACAAAACAAACAATCAAAAAAAAAACCTGTTACTCAGTTCAATTATAAACATACAAAAGTTCTAATATCTTAGTTTATTGAGGAAGAAATATCTAGGAGGCTGTGCAATTTGGGGAAAACATCGGGATTTTAAGTCACCAACATATGGGAAGCTGGTGAAGTCAGAGCTCACCCATGAAGAAAAGTGAGCCTAGGACAGTATCTTGAAGAACATTAATATTTAAGAAAAAGAGGCCCCAAAGCAGACAGAAAAGAAATAATCAGTATGTAAGGAAGCTAATGAGATGTGTTGTCAGAGAAGCTAAGGAAGGAGAGAATTTTAAGAACAAAGTAGTTGAGGAACTGACTTGCCATTAATTGAGGAAAGTCATCCTATATAATAAAAGGCTAATATGCAAATTGTCCCCTCAGGAGTTCGACTGCTTGCTATGATGTGCGCTGAGCATCAGGGGGCAGTGCAGAATGAAAGAAGGCCCTGATTGCGGCCAGCAGCTGGAGGAAGGCCCTGATCAGCCCTGACTGCCGGCCAGGCCTAGGGACCCTACCTGTGCACGCATTTCATGCACCAGGACTCTAGTGAAAGATAAAATGCCCATCACAGCTGGCAATGTTAAATGTATAGAAAAAGAGTTAACAGAGTAGGCCTGACACTGGTATCCTTAGAAATGCCTGCTTACAAAGTGGGCCTTGGATTTCACAAGGGTTCCCACCACTCTGATGAAAAATAGTTCACTGCACCTAAACAGTCAGTACACCATGTGACTTAGGATGAACAACTGTTTCTCTTCTAGGAGTGTAATTTTGGTACATATTAGACAGAGGGTGTCTACGTGACCAGTCCCTGATAAAAACATTGGGCACTCAGGTGCCAATGAGCTTCCCTGGTAGACAACATTTCACACAAACTATCACAATTTTCTGGGGGAATTAAGAGCACCTAGTAAGACTCCACTGGGAGAGAACCCTTAGAAACTTGTGCCAGATTTCCTCCAGACTTCACCCATGTGCCTTTACTCTTTGCTGATTTTGCTTTCTATTCCTTTGTTGTAATAAATCATAGCCATGAGTACAACTATATACTGAATCCTTCCAGGAAATCATCAAATCTGAGGGTAGTCTTGGAGACCCCCAATACAGTTAAGGGAAGAAGCTAAAGTAGAACATAAAGTTGACAAAAAGTTATTTTTATTTGCTTTGTCATTTATTTCAGGTAGAAGACTCTTAAGAAGTTTACTTACCAAAAGTCTGGAATACCTGGAGAAAATCAAATTAAATTCATAGAAAAGAAAAAAGATAATTTATGGACTAAGTCCTTCAAAATCTTTGTTCTACCATGAAACTGCCCCAGATGATTTATGTTTTTACGGTAACATTCTTAACAAAAGAAGATACCTATAAGAAGCAATACTTAACATAAGTGATAATAGTATTGAAATTACATGAACAAACCTTTAAGTATGAGGTTAAAAATTGTTCAGATTTTAGATTTGCCCAAAATAAAGCAAAGATTACTACAGGATCTAGTCACCTAAAACAAAATTTTTCCATTTAGATTCAGTAATCATGCAAAATTCATATTTATTTTTAAAGGAATTACCAGCAGAATCGTATCCTCTGTATTCCAGTCTCTGAAGGCCTTTGATTAGGGTCTCCAAGATTTCTCGTCTTGTGCGAGGGACATGGTAGTTTAAGTAAGCAAATATACCTGCAAATAAACAAATACTTAATAAAAAATTCTGTCTAAAGATTAAAAATTAACATATTACATAATCTTCATTTGCATAATTATGCCTAAGATGTGCAAAAATGTGAAGCTAGAGTCCATCTTTAAAAGAGAAGTAAATCCTCACTTCAAATTGTCTAAAGGCAATGAAACTTTTTCAAAGGGGGTTTTCCATTTGTAAAAGACTAAAGCAAATATGTCAAAATAAATGCTCATTTTTGCCCAGCCAGTGTGACGTAGTGGTTGAGCATTGACCTATGGACCAAGAGGTCACAGTTCAATTCCTGATCAGGTCACATGCCCAGGTTGCAGGCTCCAGCCCCAAGCAGGGAGCATGCAGGAAGAAGTCGATCAATGATTCTCTCTCATCATTGATGTTTCTCTCTCTCTCTCTCCCTCTCCCTTCCTCCCTGAAGTCATTAAAAAGATTTTTTAAATAAATGTGTGTGGTTTTTCCCAAAGCAGCTCATAAGGGTGGTCACATCTTCCATTACTGCCATTTTGTTAAGTAAAATTTAATTTTAAAAAACTAACCAATCAACAAATTTGCTAAATACTGAGCATTATGTTTAAAGAAAATCATTTCCTGGAGTATTTTAAGCTACATATGGATCTTACGAAACTATACAGATGAAATAAATTTTCTTACTTTCAATAATCATGTTATCAATAACATTTAGGAATAAGTAATTTATAACTATTAATTATGTGAAAAATATTACCTAAATATTCTAATAATATGAGGAAATATTAAAATATATATATAATCATGTTAAAAGAAAATAGCTTGAATCACTTATTCACCAGTTACTGGCTAACAACAAGTAACTGCAATGTTAACAACTCTTAAGAATTCATAGAGGGTAAAAAAATAAAGCAATAATTTGGAAAAGCAAAACTAGAAATAAAAGAACTAGTACATATGAACTGAGCAAGGCAAACAAAGAAGTAGTAAACAACACAGGCAAAAAATATCCACACTTTAGGAATAGCAGTATGGAAATTATCTGAGGCCTCCCATGATTATGCTTTGGTCAAGGTGGAGAGAGCATTGAAGACCAAAATATGAGGAAATTATAAGCTCAAGTTGCTTACTTATGAAAGAATTTCCTTTTTCTTATATTACACTATAGTGTCACTGAATCATAAGGAAATAAAATTAACTCAGTGAAGTAGAATTCCAAAACAACTAGTCTTTATTTCCATTTGAAAAGATCTCATTATTTCTATAAATAGCTTGGTCCTATTGAAGCATTTCAGCATCCAAAAATACTGAATTGTTAATATCCAACAAAGAAGCCATAATAATGGTTTGCTGAGCATCATGATTAGTATAATTTTTTCAAACAAACTATCATGCCCTTGAAAAAAAAGGAAATCCACATTTTTTCTTTTAAATATGTTTTTATTGATTTATTATTATTTTTTAGAGAGAGAGGAAGGGAGAGGGAGAAAAAGATAGAAATATAAAACAGCAGCCTCTGGCAAGTCCTCTGCTGGGGATGGAGCTCTGTAATCTGGGCATGTGTCCTGTCTAGACTCGAACTGGTGCACTGGATGACACTCAACCACTAACCCACATTGGCCAGCCAGGAAATCCACATTTTAAAACTAAATCCAAAATAACCTGAAACAACTGTTTAAACTTTCCCCAAAAATGGAAGTATAAGGCCAAGAACTTATAAAAATTCTATATTTCATTATTTAAAAAAAACAACCTTACAATTGAAAAGATTTTTTAAAGTTATCGTATGTTATACAAGCATCTTATTTTCGCAGACACAACCTTGCATGAGATCTGGGGTTTTTATTGTTACTGCTGTTCCTTCATAAAGTAGCTATAATATGAACAAACTAAACCAATTATCAACTGTAAATCAAACTTTCATGTGTTCTACACTTATTCCCCCTATGGGTCACTGACTTATGATAAAGATTAAATGAAGAAAACTATCAGTCCCAAATAAGTATTTTTATTCGATCACTGAAGGACAACACACAGAATATAAATCTTTTCCTCAAATCACTGGACAAGGACTGGAAGAAAAGGATGACACACACACAGAAATTTTCTAAGATCAAAGTATTAGAGATGGGAGAAGGAAGAAAGGGAATTAACCTAAGTAATCCCTGGTTAGGAAAATGAAAGATAAAGAGATTAAATCTGCCAATTTTATACACCAGCTCCTTGACAGAAACAGTGGCCTAAAGACAGTCCACCTCTTGGGATTAGTGGGTTATCTGTAATCTTGGGGTTGCTGGGAAAATAGAATGGCATATAACCTGCCTATCAGGCATGCAAGGGCATGTTTACAAGGGAGGTATTCTTAATTTAAAACAGTGCTTATTAGGGTAGAAATCACTAGATTGCTCCCATTTCCAGGTCTTTAACTTGTCTTATCAAACCTCCCAATAAACAGTTCTGCTTAGGGTAACTACAAAATCCTAAAAATACTCTCCACTGCTCTTCAGTAATTGCTCCCAAACCACACAAAGTAGTTGTAGGGAGCACAGGCCATTCCCTACGCCCAAACCAATAGATCAATGGTTCTCAACCTTGGCTGCACATTAGAATCACCTGGGAATCTTTTTTAAATCCTGATTTCTGGGCCTCGCCCTCTGGAAATTCTGGTAACAAAGAAACAGAATTTCCGTATGATGAGGCCCAGAAATCAGGATTTTCAAAAGATTCCCAGGTGATTAATGTGCAGCCAAGGTTGAGAACCATGCAATAGATGCTCCAGGTGTCATTCTCAGAAAATGGCAACTTAAATTCAAAGCACTTAGGAGCACCTTGCTTAACAACCTGGATCATGGACTTGACACACCTGGTTAAAAGCAATTTAGTCATAAGTAAAGATTTTTAAGCCTTATTAAAATGAAAACTGAATACAACTTAGCTAACTAATCAAATCATTAAAGTGCCTAGGTCTGCTTGAATTTATGTCCTTAAGAAATTTTACTTCTACATATTTTTTCACTTAGCAACTTCAGTATGTTGAGACCCTAAACAGAACTCATCAGTTTTGTGTTCAGATTAGTTCTCTAAATTTTATACTTTCTGAATCAAACTCCATCTACAATAACAATTAAATTTCATCTATTTGTTTTACTTTTTGTTAATCCTCACGCAGGGATATTTTTTCCCATTGTTTGTTTGTTTTTTTGTTTTGTTTTGTGTTTTTTTTTTCAGAAAGAGTGAAAGAGAGGGTGGGGATGAAAAAGAAAAAAAGAGAGAGGGTAACATCAATGTGAGAGAGACACATGGATTGGTTGCCTCCCGAACGCGCCCCAATCTGGGCTGTGGGTCGAACCTGCAACCCTAATATCCACCCTTGACTGGAAATCAAACCCACGATCCTCGGTGCATGGGCCAATGCTCCAACCACTAAGACACACCAGCCAGGGTCAATTAATTTCATTAAAAAATTTTTTTCTTATAATGCAAGTTTACAAATTAATTCACCGCCATTATTAAAGATTCGAATTACACAAAGGCTACAGAATGAATTGTGAAAATCTCTTTCTAAAGGGAAGATAACCAACATTAATTCAATGCATATTGTCCCAATCTTTCAGCTATAAATGAACCTAGATATATATGGCTTTAAAGGGCTTTTTAAAAACACATAAATTGGATGACACTGTATATATTGTTCTGTACTTGTTTAATTAAAATGTTGACATCTACCCAATTCTATTTAATGGCTGCATACCAGTATATAATAGTCATATTTTACCTAAGCATTTCCCTACTGAGATGTTCCTACCTCTTTGAAATTATGAACAATACTGCAATTAAAGTTATACACATCAACTAAGTATTTGTCATAAAACAGTCAATACTACTATAATTGTAGAGACACATTCAACAGGTAAGACCCCTTTAGAAGATGAAATACTATGAGATAAAATTTTCTACATTCCTAAAAATAAAGTAAAAATTGTATAGAGTCACACAATGAAGGATTTCAATTATTTATGTGTTTTCTAATTGTTTAAAAATATTTTTCGTATTTACAAATGTTGGTTTGAGTGTCCCCTAGTTTGTTGGAAATATACACTGCCACTGGAAGGAGCTCTATAACACCTCTCCCTGCACATTTAACAATCTAGAACTCTAAGCACTATTTAAACCCTGACACCTCTAGTTATACTATCCCTCACAGTCAACTTATGTCATCATCTTTCCTGGGAAAAATCATGCACTTCCGCTCACAAATCTTCAAACGTTTAATCTCTCCCACTTCTCTCTGATCAATCATATCAAACCAGTTTTCCATTATCCTCCAAAGCCAGCTTTTACTCCTGCATCCCTGACACCCTTACAGTGAGGTCCATCCACCCATTTCAGGTTCACTTGCAAAACAGCCCTTCCAACAGCTGACCAATCTTGTTAATTCATAGTTTGTCTAACTTTCCCCCAGATATTTTTCTAAAGTCTAGAATCAACTATTCTCAAATTACCATTTCTCCCTTCCCAGATTCTTTCTCATTTTTGGCAGATTCTCACTTTATAGAACCGAAGTCTTCATCTTCATCTTAACAGCATAATACATGATGTACCCTTATCCTTCCTTATAAGCTCAAAACAGAAAACATTCTACATATCTGAACCAGCCTCTCCTACTCATAACTGTTGATAAGTATGGAGGAGAGATTGTTCTGTGAGGTGACTGCTGCCTGTCCTATAAGCTGGACCCAGATGGCTTTCTGCAATCCCTCCTTACAGACTATCTGATCATAATTAATGTTCACTCTGACATCAATCAGCACCCCTCCCTTGCCTCCAGTTATGTATTGGTCCTGGAACAGATTGTTGTCCTCGTCAATGTAATTTCCATACCTGCTAACATTCATATACTAGTACCTGTTACTATCTCCATACCATTTCTACCCTACATAATTCTCTGGTGCCTGCCAAGTTTCCCTTAATAAACTCTATTAATTAACAGATTGGAGTGGCCCGTATCTTTCTTCAG